TGGTTGTCGAGGGAACCTGCTGGTCCCCTGTGGCAGTCTGGCCCAGAGGCTTCCGTTCCCAGCCAGACAGCCCCTGGGTAGGTACGCGGAGGGACAGTAGTTTTGGAGGAGAGACAGCCCCTGGCCCTCCTCCTCACTGACCCTTGTTCTAAAGGTTACAGGGTTCAAACATACCTGATTATTATTGTAATTAGTGTTGTTTTAGTTTTAGTTTTATTTTAACCAAAGTCGGGCGTGGACCTCAGCTGCTGGAAAGATTTTCCGTTTCTGGGAGGACCCCCCCCCTCCCCCCCCCGCCGCATCCCCGGACCTCCTCTGTCTGGGGCTGAGGGGGGTCATGGAATGACCTGGTTTGGGAAGCAGAGCAGAGGCCAGGCTTGGGTTGCTCCTCAAGGTGGTGGGGAGGGTGACAGAGCTATCTGTTGTGTTAAGACATAAGGCAGGAGTGTAAGTATTCGGAGTTACCTAAGGGGACCGTGGCTGTCGGTGTCCAGTAGTGTTATTTATGTTCATGTATATAGGACGTTTGCCTCTGGGACTAGGGTGCCAGGGAGTGTGGAAATGGCGACAGCCAGACATGGACGCTGGCCGTGCAGCTTTTTCCTGCTGGTTTTCCAGAGCTGCTCTGCCCTAGGGAGCTAGGATCTGGGGCAGGTGGATGCGGGGTGTTGGGGGCGGCAAGGGTGTGGCTGACCAGCCCAGCTGCCTCTCTCCCCACCAAGTTCTTTTTTGAGTTGTTGCCAGTGGGCCCTTGCTTGTGCCCCTGCCATGAGCCCACAGCTTGCCAAGAAAGACCCCAACGCTCGCTGGAGCAGCCCCTGGTCTGGTTGGGACGAACTGCTCCATCCTTTGTAAAGCTGTAAATACACAAATTTCTATTTCTAAGCCCAGTGTCATATTGACATTGGTATCTTAAGGTTGTTCTCAGATGGGCTCTCCTGTGCTGCCCTCTCTCACTCTCCTATTTTTGGGGGTTTTATAAAAAGAGAGGATTGGGGAGGGGCAGGGAGAGTAGCTTCTTTTTGGCTCCCTGGTTGTGGAAGACACACGCGCACGCACGCACATACACACACACACACTCCTTTGAGACTCCAAACGGGAAAAAAAACACAAAACATTGGCAAGTAAACACATTTTGTTTTCTTGTAGCAATATATCTTGAGGTCTCTGAAGGGCCAGTCCATCGTGGACTTAGCTCTGACCTTCAGAGAAGCAAATCACTTGGGCTTGGAAGGGGGGAGAGGGTGTGGGGGAGGGGGTAATAAAAGGTGTAACTTAAGCTAAATGTAATCTATTTATAAAGTAAGAGATTCTCATCTATTTTTATGAAAGGCAAGGGTTTTTAAATCTAGGGTAGGCAGTTCTGATAGCCCGGTGTTCTCCTGTGAACAAGACGCAGGTCACTGCTGGTCTGAATTTGATCAGTGCCCCTCCCATCTCCCCGGCCTCCCCACCCTCCACCCCTGCACCTGTGAGCAGCTTTAGCAGAGCCTATGTACGTCCCACCTCACCCCATTTCCCTGTTCCTTGACACACCCTCCAGCTCCTCGGTCCTTGAAAGTCTCGAGGTGGGGGGGCACCTGTGGGAGTGGGTGGGCAGCGGGGAATTCAGAATGGAGGTGGGTGGGAGGAGGGGAGAGGGGGCATTGGGTAGGGGACAAGCTCTGCCTCAGAGGGTGGCCTCTGTTCGGTGACATGGGTCTGGTGTGCCAAGGTCCATTGCCAGGTCAGCTGTATTTGGGAGAGGTTGAGAAGCAGCGGACCGTGGGTGACTATGGGACTGTTGGTTCAGGGGACGCTTGGTTTCCTTGGGGCCTGGACCCTAGTGGGTCCCAGTGATCAGGGAACTGGAGCAGGAATGGAAAGGCTGGGAGAGGCCCACCACCCAGCCCCAGCTGTGCCCACTCCAAGCCGATGCCTGGGCTGCCGTCCTTGATGTGTTCCTCCAGGGCCTGGGGCAGGAACCGGGGTGCTGGGACTTCCTCAGACCTGGGTTCCACCATCTTGAGACCCCGAGCATCCTCTTGACATGGGGAGTCTGGAGGCAGCTGAGTGGGTATGGGTAAAGGCTGATTCTCTCGGAAAGGGAATTTTCCTTGACTGGAGGATTTCCAGGTTCGGGACTGGACCTGGGCTGTGTGTTAGTCTTGGGCAAATCCCTCACCATTCCCGCTGCCGGGCCCTCAAGAGAAATGAGGCAAGGCATCATCCCCACCCCCAGCAAGACCCCTTCGTGGACGTTTTAGCATCTACCTGATTTTTAGCTCCATCCAGGGAAACTTTATATCCCGCAGTCCCATCCCACCCCACTGTTGCTGTTTGTCTGCCAGTTGGGTCTAGTGTCAAGGGGAAAGGGGGGGTTTATACTCATTGAAAGACTACTGATCCTACCAGAAACCAACCTGTTTACTGTACTGTTGTAAATATCATGCCCTTTATATCCTGTATATTGGCTTCTTTTAAATAAAGTGAAATGTCTTAGAATTGATGGTGCTTTTTCTTTTTTTTTAAATTGAGGATAAAATAGTGATGGGCAAAGGGCAAGAGGCCTGAGGGCTGCATAAACACCAAAACAAAGCCATTAGCCAGCTGGTGATAAAATAGGGAAAATTCACATCCCTTGTTATATGGGCACCTCATGGTGAAATCTTTGGAGGGCGATAGAGCAGACTTTATTACCATATACACTTTACGGAAGGGGAAGAGCGAGCCAGAGCCATCGCAGGCTGAGTAACTGGCATTGCCTGGTTTGCAGTTGAGGTCCTGCTGATCATAACCCACCCCCCTTTGTTTAACCTCCTTTTATGGTGCCCATGAGGGGCCACCTTCTGGGACTCTGGATTTGACACTGTCCAGTGTTCTAGTTTCTTCCTATTAATGGCCAAATTTAGGGAGACCCTGCCTCCTGTGAGCTGCCCTGCTCCCCACTAGGGTTTTCTCCAAGGATTCAGAGGGACAGACACCAATTCCAGTCTATTTCTTTACCATGTTTAAGACTTGTGCTTAGGGGCGCCTGGTTGCCGGGTCCGTTAAGCATCTGCCTTTGGCTTGGGGGTTGCGCCCCCGGGGTTTGGGGGGGGGCCCCCCCCCCCCCCCGTCGGGCTTCCTTCTCTGTGCGGAGCCTGCTTCTCCCTCTTCCTCTGCCTCCCTCTTTCTGTGTCTCTCACGAATAAATGAATAAAATCTTAAAAAAAAAAAAAAGACTTGCGCTTAACGGAGCTTCCTTTTCTCCCCACTCTTTAAAATCCCCAAAGTGTCTTAAAGGGTGTGACTTGGAGAAAGAGGAGTAACATGAAATAATGCGGGCGATACCCGCCCCCCCCCCCACTATAGAAACTGAGTCCCAGGGAAATAGGGTATTTTGCCAATGTCCTAAGGAGGAACCACAGTCACCATCAGCACTCTCACTCCTCAGCAGGTTCTCTGTTGCCTTTGCAGAAAATATTAAGAGGTAATTCGGAAGAGGGCTCTAAAAGCTTCAATTAATTTAGGAATGGAATGAATCCTGAAGAGCCAGCCATCAGGAAGGCTTCAGAATCCGTTTTTCTTTTTTTTTTTTTAAAGTATTTATTTGAGAGACCTAGAGCTGGCACTAGAGGGTGGGTGGGGTGGGGTGGGGTAGGGTGGGGTGTGTGGAGGGGGGAAGGGCAGAGGGAAAGAGCCTCAGATGGACTCCCGGCTGAGCACAGAGCCTGATGTGGGGCTCGATCTCACCACCGATCTCACCACCGTAAGATCAGGGGCTCGATCTCACCACCGTAAGATCAGGGGCTCGATCTCACCACCGATCTCACCACCGTAAGATCAGGACCTGAGCTGAAATCACAAGTAGGTCACTTAACCCACTGAGCCACGTGGCCAGGCACTCCCAGAATCCGAATTTTAAATAAAGTGTTCAAGCAAACAACTCCAAGAGAAAACCAGAATTTTGACTCAGGGGTTGGGGGTGGGGAGTGGTGGGATGGAGCGCAGGGACAACCAGTTCTGAGTGTTACAGGATTTCTTTTCCTCCAGTGCCCCTGGTTCTTGGTCAGGCTGCTTGGAAGAAGGAAGAGATAGACCACACAGAGTGGTGGGCAGCAAAGCAAGGTTTATTGAACGATCGTAAAGTTTATTGGATGATAGGGTACAAAGCTCCCAAAGGGCGGGGAGGGGAACCCGATAGGGTTGCCAATTTGGCATTTAAATCTAGGGGCTTTATGGGCTTGTTGGCCGGCTGTTTTACTCTGATCAGCCCTGACCTGCCTTTCTTCCAACTGTTCTTCATCACGAGGTCAGGGGCTTTAAAGGAAAAGTTAAGCATGGACCGGCTGGGTTTTCTCTCTCACTGATCCTAGTTGGCCAGGAAGCAGGCGGATTTACGTAAGCGCCAGGCCCCGAGGTGCAGGGTGGGTGGGTGCCCACCAGGCAGAGGCTGGAGGCAGGGTCTGTAGGCTCATCCCAGGGGCTGCTTCCCCCGGGTGGAGGCACGCGGCTGGCCGCGGTGTGGCCCCGCGGGGTCCAAGAGTCTGATGGCCACCCGGCCAACGGGAGACCGAACCGTCAGGCCGGGACGCTCACGACACCTGACTCACCGAACCGCCGTCCTTCCGCGGCTCCTTACACTTGTCCCCTTCCGGCTCTCTCATTGGCTCTCTCCGCCCCTCCCGGAGACGGCTACAGGAGGACCGCCCTCCCGATTGGCTCACAGTCTTCGGTGTGTCATTCTGATTGGTCGAGGGGGCTCACGCCCCCTCTCCCGCCCCCACGGAGGGCGACTGGGCCATACAATAAAAGACGAGGGGGAAACGTGTAAATACCAAAGCTTCCCTTTTGGGCTGCCTTGTCCTAGGTCGCACACTTGCGTCTCCAGTGCCTTCTAATCAGAGTGATCGTATTACCAAGAGGAAACACGGAGGCATTTCGGGTAAGTCTGACGCGGAAAACGGCCCAGTGATCCGATTCCCCCCGCCCGCCAAGGTCGTGCGCTCCGGGCGGGGCTCCGCCTTCTGGCCGCGCCCGGGGCTCAAGGTCTGTGAGCAACCCCGGGACTCACCGTGTGCGAACAGTTCCGCTGCGAGCTCGAGATGCAGTCGCTCCCCTCTGCGCTCCGCCGTGCCCTGCTGGCCCGCCCCTGGAGGGACCCCGGGTGAGTGCGCCCCAGGTCTGCGGCGGGCGGGAGGGGGGTGCCTGGGGGCCCCTCCCTGCCAGATCCCCGTGGCGATCGCGAAGGCTCCCCACGCCGGGGGTCGCCTCCTCTAGCCCTCTGCCCCTCACGGCCTTCCTCCCGCTGCGACCCACCCCCCGGTCTCCTCCGCGAGGTGGACACCTCCTGGCTCCCACGCTCGGAAAGTCACCTCCTTCGCGCTCGTCTTCCTCCTCACAGGGAACCCACCGACAGAATGCATCTCGATTTTTTGCACAGCGCTTCTCAGCCCCCCATCCTCGGTCTCACATTCAAGACTCGTCTCTGGGAGTCCCTGAGTCTCCTGTCCCCTTTCTACCGGGACTCCTCTTTCCTCTTCTCCCTTTCCCAAATTAAGTCCTGGGCAGAAAAGGGACCCTTCCTCCCAGTAGGTGGAAGAGTAATACTTAGGGAGTGCTTGTCATGGGCCAGACGCTGGGCGAGGTGCTTGATGCATGCCTCACTGTGATTGCTGAGGGAGAGACACTGCACGGGAAGTGCATCGAACAGTGCCTGGCACTTAATACCCAGTTATTATTACGCAGATAGTCTTTTATCACTCTCTTTTAAGCTGTGCAGGAGATATTCCGAATTACAGGTGAAGAAACCAAGGTGTAGTTTTGGGGTGGATCAGCCCTGCAAATGCCCGAGCCGTGGAGTTGGGTTCCTGGACCCTTGCCCACTCAGTGACATGTTCTTTTTATTTTTATTTTTATTTTTTTTTAAGATTTTATTTATTTGACAGAGAGAGAGAGAGATCCCAAGTAGGCAGAGAGGCAGGTGGAGAGAGAGAGGGAAGCAGGGCCCCCAGTGAGCAGGGAGCATGATGCGGGCCTCAATCCCAGGACCTTAGATCACGACCTGAGCCAAAGGCAGAGGCTTAACCCACTGAGCCACCCAGGTGCCTCTCAGTGACATGTTCTTAGACCCTCTGTGCTAGGTGGAGGGTGGAGGGAGGTAGGCAGGACACAGACCCTGTCCCAGACAGGCTCAGTCTGACAGGCAGGTACTTCTGTGGGCCTCTCTTTCAGGGCTGGGCAGCCCCCGCCCCCAGTTTGAGTTTTGTTTGCCTGACCCCTAGGACTGTGACCAACTCTGTCTCCCTGCTGAGCTATGCCTTTTCTGAGTTAATCAGTTTCCCAAGGGATGGTGGGGGGGTGCGCAGCCTGGGCATGGGTCAGTTTCAACACTTCTGGGTGTCCTTTGTGGGTGGGGGCTTCATAGGTAAGGGCACAGGAAGAGCACATGGGGGAGGACTTCTCTCCCAAGCCAAGGTTGGGGGCCACACTTGCCACACCTTCAATGCAATCTCTTTTGCAAGCTTCTCCCTGGACTCGGACACCACCCTCCGCCCCCACCCCCACCCCCAGCCATGGGGGAGGAAGACCATAAGTTCATGTATTTACTGAGCATCTACCATGTGCCATGTGCTAAACCCTGGAAGAGAGGGGTACCCAGGGGACTTGCACGTGGATGGGGACTTCGGAGAGTTTTCAGTTTAATGGTGCGGGGGAGAGGGCTTAGCCATAAAAACCTATAATACCTGGTAGAAAGCAATCCATATTCTAGGAAAAAAAAAAAAAAGCTTACGATAGCAGTAACAACTATCAAGCGATCAAGAACTATAGACCTGGCAGTGTGCTGGTAAGCATTGTACTATCCCTATTTTTACAGATGGGAAACTGATCTGCCAGTTAAAACCAATGGAGAGCTAAAATCGCAGTCAGGCTCCCGCTTCCTGCTCTTAATTACAGAGCCTCCCGAGTGGAGCGAAAGCGTTTTTTGCAACCTGATCTGAAGGCTCAGGTTACCTCTTTCGATAGAGCAGCTGGCCCAGAGCCCCAAACAGGGTTTCTCAACCTTGGCACTGTTAACATTTTGAGCTGGGTAACCCTGTGTGTTAGGGGCTGTCCTGGGCCTTGGAGAATGTTCGGCAGCTTTCCTGGCCTCTGCCCATGAGACACCACAAGCACTCTACAGTTGGGACCGTCCATATAGGAATGTCAGACACTGTCCAACGTCTCCGAGGCCAAAATTGCTCCTAGCAGACAGCCGTTGTGCTAGAAAAACAGGTGTGATGTTGGGCCATTTTTTTGTTTATTTAGCTAATATTTAGGATGCTCTTGGGCCATTTGTGGAGAAACAGTTTTAGAACATGTTTAATAGTATCTCTCCGTGTCCTGTTCATAGAACTAATGCTGAGGAAAATCACCTCTTTTGAGGAACCTGGTGGGGGTGATGATGTTCATAGTGTTTCCCTTTTTGCCTGGAGTGCCAGGAATCTCAACTGATTTTTTAAAAACACCTTTTCTTTTTTTTCTTTTTTTTTTTTTTTGCGGGGGAGGGGGTGGTGCCTGGGTGACTCAGTCATTAAACATCTGCCGTTGTTCAGGTCATGTCATGATCCCGGGGTCTTGGTCTTGAGCCCCGTGTGGGGCTCCCTGCTCAGCGGGAAGCCTGCTTTCTCCCTCTCCTGCTCCCCCTGCTTGTGTTCCCTCTCTCCCTGTCTCTCTCTGTCAAATAAAATCTTAAAAAAAAAAAATACCTTTTGCCCCCAAATTTTATTTATTTATTTATTAAAGGGGTGGGGGAAATACAGAGGGAGAGAGAAATTTTTTTTTTTTTTGGTAAGATTTTATTTATTAGCCCGGAGATCATGACCTGAGCCAAAAAACTTAACCGACTGAGACACCCAGGCATCCCAGGAAGTGGGAACCTTAAGCAGGCTCTACCTTAATGACCCTGAGATCATGACCTAGGCTGAAATCAAGAGTTGGACACTTCACCTAGCCTGAGCTACCCAGGCACCCCTAAAAATACTCTTAATCATGCATTCCCCCTTGCTTTTTTTTTTTTTTTTTTTAAGATTTATTTATTTAGAGGGAGAATGCAGGGTACACATGCATGATTGGTGGGGAGGGGGTGAGAGAATCCCAAGCAGCCTCTGTGCCCAGTGCAGGGCTCGATCTCACAATGCTGAGATGAAGAGTTTGGTGCTTAACCGACTGAGCCCCCCAGGCACCCCCATGCATTTTCTTTTTATTTAATTAACGTGTGTCCATTGGAAAAAGTGCAGATAAAGCAAAAAACATGAAAATGACCTAGAATCTCACCACATGGAGGTAACCACTGCCCTCACTTCGATTAATATCCTTTTAACTTTCCACAAATATGTATGCTTAAAAAAAAAAAAAGCAAACCTAACAGTATAATGGGGGGCTCATCTGCATACACTTTTTTGTAGTTTACTTTTATTTCGTAGACTTGTCCATTTTACTATCTCCGTGGTCTTGTACCTTTTAATGACGTGGATTATTTTACTGGGCTTCTTAGCAGCCTGTGATAGTTTTATAGGCATTACTATTCCCCATTTCGTGGATTAAACAACTAAAGCCCTTGAAAGTTAAGGAAAACTCCTCTAAGGCTTTACGCTAGTAAACACCAGGCCCCCAGTTGACTGCCTCCTGTCTCCCTGGGCCCTGACCTGGTTTTTTCTCTATTTCGTTGACTTTATCAGGGGGTTATCCTCAGTTATGTCTCTGCACATTCTTTTTGGAAAGATACATATTTATATTTATGTATAGATTTAATAAGTAAAAAAAGTAGCCCAGGCATATCGTAGGTTTATACCAATCGTGAATTTTTCTCTGTTACTTTTGTACCAGATGCTGCTGGGTGCCAGGGGTCCCCCCCACCATCAGGGGGTAGGTGGGCTGGAATTGACTACCGTCCTGTCCCCTGCAAGAATCCTGGGTCACTCCTCGCAGCCCACCTACCTGCTTAGTTTGCAGCATTTCAGAACTCCCCAACACATGTCCCAGCCTGCCTGCCCCTGGAATGGGCACAGGCTGTGCTGGGCAGGGGGCTGGCCCATCCCATCGCTTCCTGGACATAAACTCTCCTCTCAGTCCTCCTAGCAGAGCCCAGGCAGTGCCTCTCGCCTGGAATGTTCTCCCCTGCCCCCTTGGCGAGCCCACACCCAGCGCTTTGTGGCCTTGGTGGTGTGGCTCTCCTTTGGCCCTTCATTGTCCTGTCTGTATAATGGGGAGAATCCCATTCGCCGCAGAGCAGAAGGGTTAGAGATGGTGTGATGGGGGCTCATTATGTAACTAGCGGCACGAAGTGATGCTAATTCTGGCTTCAGAGGTTGACGGAATCCCCATTGAGCTGTGGTTGTCCCTGGTGCTCCCTGGGCACCTGCCTCTGGTACCCCCCCCCCCCGCCCCGGCCCAGCACATAGTAGGTGCTGTATGCTTGCTGTTGGAATGGTCCAGAGGACAGCGTGGGGTGGATTCTGGCCCCACCTCTTAGCAGCTCTGTGGCCCCTGGCAGGCTCTTCAGCCTCCCTCCTGCCTCATTTTCCCAAAGGTAAAGACAGTAGTAGCTGTCTCCTAGGATTGCCTTGAGAGGAGATGAGTTCATACACACAAACTACTTTGAAGAGTACCTGCTCTTGGACAATGATGCTTTTTTTTTTCCCTTTAATTTTACTCCTTTATTGGACAGAGGGGGAAAGCACAAGCAGGGGGAGCAGAGGGAGAGGGAGAAGCAGGCTCCCTGCTGAGCAGAGAGCCCGACTTGGGGTTCTATCCCAGGACCCTAAAGTCATGACCTGAGCCCAAGGCAGTTGCTTAATGGGCAGAGCCACGCAGGTGCCCCAACCGTGTTGCTCTGAGTATTGTTTTGATCCCTCTCCCCAGTCATGGGCTGTCCCGAGTGATCACCCTGGACCAGGAAGATTCAGACACGAGGGTCCCAGCCAGCACAGGGATGATGGAGGCAGGTGTGGAGCTCGGGTGCCCTCGGTGCCTGCCCGTTGTCCTCACTAATGACGCCAAGGCAGAACCCTTTCTGTTGGGGTAGACCCTGCTCACCCCCCCGGGTGGGGGCAGACAGCTGCCCATTTTGGGGGTTTCCTACCCTGCCCCCACCTTTCCTTTCCTGGCACGGAGTAGACAGCGCCCATGAACAGCAAATCACCACCCTCCTCTCTCGTGAGCTGGGAAATGCTGGGAGGGAGGAGACACAAGCTGGGTGGAGAGGAGGACGAGCCTGTCCCCTTGGCCCCGCCGCTTGGGTCTTTGACAGGCGGCAGGTGCTTGAGAGAGGAGGCCCTGGGTTCAGGTGCTGCTCTGTGGGGCGGGGAGCTGTACCCTGGAGCCGTGCCCTGGAGCCATGCGACAGCATTAGTATCCCCGAAGTCGGTTTTCTCATCTGTAATAGTAATAGTAATAGTAATAGTAATAGTAATAGTAATAGTAATAGTAATAGTAATAGTAATCCAGGTCTCTTTCTCATGCATTCGGAGCTGGATTCAGGAGATAATCACTTGGTGTCTTGCCAGGCCTGTTGTAAGCACTTAATATGTATTCCTTGATATTTCTGGGGCAATAAAGTTCTGGGGCAATAAAGCTTGGCCTGAATCTGCCTGGGCCCTGTACTTTCTCTCTGCTCACTGCCCCTTATCTCCACGATAAGGAGGATTGGCCTTATCAGGTCCCAGATAACAGCTGGGAAAGTCTGGAAGCTGAATGAAGCAAGGGTAGTTTCCTTTCTCCTCCTCTCTTTGTGCTTGCTCACCCTGACCCCAGGCACTCGGGACCTGCGTCCAGCCCCAGGTGTTAGCAGAAGAGCACTGGCCTGGGAGTCCAGTCCCGGGGGACTGGTGTTGTTCCAACAACACTTTGGGTGTTCCCTGTTTTTCTCTTTATCAGCCCCCCTCTTTTTTTTCTTGATGAATCTGATAAAAGGTTTATCAGGGTGTTCTTTGTTTTAAAAGGTATTTCTCCAGTGCTCCCGAGGGCCAGGTGGGGTGTCCGTGGGTGAGTGGTGGGGTCGGGGGTGGTGGCCTGGCAGGAGCCACGGAGAGGCAGAGCACTGTTGGTGGTGCTATGATCAGAGCGTGGGCTCTGAGATGACCTGATACACGGCCCATCCAGGAGCCAGAGGGTGGCGTCCCCAGAGGAGGGGACTCCAGAAAGACCCCCTGGTGGCCGGATCTCGGCAGACAAAGTGGGCAGGGGAGAGGGGTGATGGGAAATAGGCCTGGAGGCCTCAGGAAGGATTCCAATTTTTTTGTTGGAGAAGAGATGAGAAGCCACGAGTAGGTAGGTTTCATTGGTGGTATCCAAGCAATCTCTGCGCCCTCGAGATATGCGATGAATGTGTGCGCATGAGTAAGGAATGAGTCCTACCTGGAAGGGCCTCAAGCAGACCCTCGCAGAGGCTCCAGGTTCTGTGAGTGATTATTCTCTGCCTTTCCACTCTGCCTTTCCAGAGCCCAGGGAAGAGCTCGTGCTCATCCCACATGGCCCATGAGCCAAAACAAAAGGTTGGGGGGGGTGGTTTGGTTTTGTCAGGTGTCCTTGGGTTATTTTTGGCTTCAGATTCAACTCAGGCTCATCTCTGAATTCTGTTCCCCACATTTGGACTGATGAGCAGCTGGGCTGGGGCTTGGAGACTTTCCAGGCAGAGGGGAAGCCAGCGGGGAGTGTGATGATCCTGTGGTCACAGTGGGCCTCGGCCCTAGGGAAGGTAGAGAGGGAGAGAATGCAGGATTTCTGCTTCTGACACTGCCTGGGAGGGAGCGAGCGGGGTTCCCTGGTAGCTGCTACATTTTAGGCTGGGTGGAATGCGGTGCTAAGTTTATTCCAGCACTGTCTGGTGAGTGCCCAGGCCGGCCCGATTGTTGTGACCTGGCGGGTATCTGAGAACCATCTTGCCCTTGAACACCTGGCCTGGTGCGGTAACGTTCTGGGTGTGTGTATGTATACATACATATACATATATACGTACACATCTGTGAGACACATCTAAGAAGACAGTATTCTTAGAAGTACAGAGCCCGAGGGGTGAGGAAAGGCGAGCACTTTTCACCTCCCAATGCCTCTGAAGGGCACACGGACTGCTCCCACTTTTCAGGTGGGCAATCTGAGACCTGCCGAGTTTGTCATAGTGGGTTGATGTCTCGGAGCCCGTGGGGGTTTTGGTCCCATAGCTGTCTGCTAACAGAGCTGGGCTTTCTGCATGCCCCGTGAGCGGGGTCCAGGCTCCCAGGCCACACCCCTCTTCAGCGGGCCCCCTCCTGGCTATAGCTGATTGACTGCTTGCTGGTAGTGTGCAGCTGCTGGAAACTTCCAGAGGGCCCCTGGGCGTACATGCCACTCCCGCTTTCCTCACTGGTGTGGAGGCTCTGTTCCTCCCCAGCTCTAGGTTGGGGGGTTGGTCGGTGTGGACTTGAATTTACGGGATAAACCTGTAGCTTTGTGTGATTGTCTCCCTGGCTCCTGAGAGTAACCCAAGGGAAGGGCTGGTGGGAGGCTGGCTTAGCCCCACATTTCTAGCCGTGGTTAGGGGATGGGTGGGGCCTAAGGAATGTGACTGTCCTCCTGGGGTGGGGTGGGTGCTGCCTGGGAGGTGGGGTGGGGGAGGAGGGAGAAGGCCTACCTCACTTAGAGCTGTTAGGCAAAATCTTGGGCAACCCCGCCCTGCCCCCTTCCCTCTTGGACCGCCCGGGGACCTCTCAGTGCTTCCTGTCTGTTTCCTGCTCTGGGCCTTTGTACTTGCTCTCCTTTGTGCCTGGAAGGCTCTTCCCAGTTCTCAGATCCCAGATGGTGCTCCGAGAGGACACCTACCCTGAGAGGCCCTCCCTGATCACCTTGGCTGGAGCAGCCCTGCCCTTCCCCTTACTTGTTCTCTCACCTCTTGTTCTCACCGTGTTTTATTTCTTTGCCGTGGTTTTCTTTGCCGTGGTCCGCACTGGAGGTTAGCTGCTTGGGATGAAGGGTAGTTGGAAGAAAGGCAGGTAGGAACAGGAGGGGCCCTCCCACCCTAAGAGGAAACTACCCTTAAAAGGATTTTACACCACCCTGAGGGGGCCCTCCATCCTTTCCCCACTGGTGATAGGTAGAGGACAAGAAACTGATTGGATGATAGGCTCAGGGAGTGTTAATCACATTAAAAGAGACACCCTGCTAGTAGGCAGGGTAAAAACCGCTGGACTTAGAAACTGGTGGTAACCCTCTCAGTCCCCTCCCTCCTCTGGAGCTTTGTGTGATCTCTTTGCTATCTCGTCGTTAACCTTGCTTTGCTGCCACCACTGCCGGTCCACCTCCTCATTCTTCGAAGCCCGGGGCACCGAGGGGAAAGATTCTGCAGCCCATGCAGCCCGAGGCCTTGGTGTCATGGTCACTGCTCTGTCCCCCGTGTCTACAGCAGCATCAGGCATAGCAGATACCCAGGAACCTTCTAGAATGAATGAAGGACCAGTCCTGATGGCCCCTGCTTTCCTGTCCTTCCTCCAGTCCTTCCAGACTGGGTCCGTGAGCCTCCAGACCCCTTCCCAGGGAGAAGGAATAAAAAGTGCCCCCAGCACTCACTGCCCAAGTGACACAGAGGCCTGGAGGACCCACCGGTCAGTGAGGTCCTAAGGTTCAAGATGGAACCAGGTTTCCGGGATGACGAGCTCTTGAAAATCAGGACCCTGGCATCAGACCCTGAACCCTGATAGCCACCCTCCCCATGGCTGCCAGCTGAGCTCAGGGCACTCCTCCAAGGTCCTGGCCCACATCTTGAATGTTCTGCCCACGGGAGCTCAGCTCTTGGTGCCAAGGGAATCCCAGCCGGGTCCCATTCTGATGGGCTGAGCTCTGGAACAGGCTTCCTTTTCAGCCCAGAGAAAGCAGTCAGTCACTTGGGGCCCTTTGGGATAAGGGCTGCATTGTGGGGAAGGAACGGCAGAGTCCACCGTCTCTCCATGTACAAAACACTTAGAAGTAGTTTTGTGTTGACTGAACTTAAGCTTCAAACGGCCTTGTGGGTTCGTAGGATGGTTCTCACTTAGTAGATAGAGAAACCAGCCCAGAGGAGGCAGGTCTCACATACCTGAGGACACACAGGGGCAGGTCTGGACCTGGAACTTGGATTTTGGACCCCAGGGCTAGTTCTTGCCCCCCAGTTCTATATTTGCTCTGGATTTCAGGATTCTGGGCCAACCCAGAACATCTCCCTCCCCCACTGGAGATAGAGGGGCTGGGTCTGGTGGCGGCCACCACTGACCTGTCTGCCTCTGTTCCTTGCCCTTGGACCCCAGGCTGTGGTGGAAGCACACGTCGTCCTCCCCAAAGGTGGCCAACGAGCCGGTCTTGGCATTCACGCGGGGCAGCCCGGAGCGAGATGCGCTACAAAAGGTAATGGCCAGTGGGGGCAGGGGCACCCAGTGGGAATAGGGGGTGGCGTGAGGACAGCCTCCAGCAGCGCCCCCAGGATGCCTCTCTCTGCCTACAGCCCTCACCCGCTGATGTGCCTGCCTCCAGCCTTGGAAGGAGACCAGATCAGGGACAGCCGTGCGTCTGGAGGATGGGAGAGGCTGGAGGCAGCAGCAGGGGAGGGGGGTGGTAAGCCAGGCCACTTTGGGGTCCGGACACTTTTGGGGCTCCCTCCAGGTTAGGGGTGGTAAGCCCACAGACATTTGTTTTGTGCTTACAAACATTGTCCCGTTAATTGCCAGCATTTTAAAAAAATCGTGAGATGTCATGTACGTTTCAGATGCGGGGTTTTCTTCTCTGTTTATAATTCGAGGCCCTGGCAGCACTGGCCTCCCCTCCAGCAGGATAGGAAGTGACGGTGGAGGGGGGTTCTGAGTCCTGCTGCCCCCCCTGAGCAGAGCAGATGCTCTCTGGCCTCAGACCCCGGCCCCTCAGTATTTCTGTTCCCACCTGGGGAGATCTGTGTTTGTAGACTCTGCCCCCCGGGGTTTTTAGGTGGGGCAGAGAGTGGGGAGGAGATACCCAACCCCTCAGTTGTCCCCTCTGCAGGCCTTGAAGGACCTGAAGGGCCGGACGGAAGCCATTCCATGTGTGGTGGGGGACGAAGAGGTGTGGACGTCAGATGTGCGGTACCAGGTGTCGGTGAGTCCTGTGGGCGGCGGGGCTCAGTTTCTCCCTGAACCTGGGGTCCGGTCTCTCGGGCAGCAGATCACACGGGACTCTCTGCCGGCAGAGTTTATAGTCCGTTCCCTGATTTTGAGTTCTGTGCGCCAGTATAAAACCTCCAAAAGTAGTCTTGGGGGTCTTGTCATGAAAGATGCCGACTTCACACCAGTCAAGAGGGAGTTAAAACGGTGATGGCCACCGGCTTTGCTGTCTCTTTAGAAAGGTGGACCCATTGGCCACCTAAAGGGTAGAGAGAAAGGGCAGAATGGCAGAATTGAAGATAATCTTTCCAGAGAATCAGACAGTCTCCAAAGCCCTGCCCTCTATTTTGGAACTGCTGCTCTCGGGGAAGATAAGCTCCTCTGAGGCGAGCCCCCAGGGCGTGGACCCGTTGTCCAGCCAGGTGTCCCCTCCTCCTAGAAGCCCTCCAGCTGGAGCCACACTCCTACAGACACGTCTGAGAGGTCCTGCCCATATGCAGGGGCTCCTCTCTCGGTCCTTGCCGCTTCTCTTAGAGGGAGGAAGAGTAGGGTGTTAGCTGCCCATTTTGGAGATCAAGGCTCAGAGACACTAAATGACCCAGCTAGGGCAGCACAGTTAGATCTGGAATAGGGATGATTAATCCTTGTTCTCCAGAACCACACCCTGTTGGTGTTGATTCTGGTGCATTTTCTGGGGAGGATTTGGAAGCGGCATAGTAATTCACAGTGCAGTGGGGTCATCTCGCTGTGGCCTCCTGGTCACGGAATGAGAACCGTGGAGCCCTGGGTGCAGGAGACAGCCTAGACTTGCCTTGATGCCTCCTGGTGATCGCAGGGAAGCCAGCACGTCACTTACACTAGTCAGAGTGTTCTTGAAATAAATTCCAGCTGCACCTTGGGAGAAGTACAGCCCTTCCCCATAGGGGGCCCGGAGAGAAATTGCTCCCGAGGGCGTCAGAAGGACAAACAGTGCCTGAGTCTCAGCTCATGTCCAAAGGATGCCTTTTGCACACTGTCATTCCATGCAGGCCAGAGCGCCCACTGCTGGGTCAGCAACCAGAGGGCATGACACCCGGAGCCCTGGGAGCACAGCCCTGCATCACGCAGGTCACTTGGCCCCTCAGCGCTGTGCCACCTGCCAGCTAGGATTCTGATAACCCTCTGGGCGGGCACGTCCATTCTCATGGCCTGTGGTGCCTCACTGACCTGGCCACGTGGGAACTGGGGGAGCCCAGGCATGGGAGGCAGTGGCTGGCACGTGGCTGCTGGCGTCGGGGAGCTGCGGTCCACGGGGATGTGCTGGGTCGAAGGGCCAGGGTCCGAGCTGCCACCTCAGGCCCTGAGCATCACAAGCCAGACTCGGGTGTGGACAGGATACAGGTGACTCTGTTGGTGGTTGGAATGAGGGGCAGAGGGCCACTTTGTCCTGAACCCTAGACCAGCACCACCCAATAGACTATTCTGCAGTTCCGATGACCAGTATCTGCATGCTGTCCCGCTACCGCGGCCACGGGCCGTGCGTGGCCGTCCAGCCCGTGGAATGTGGCAGGTGTGGCCGAGGAATGGGGTTGAAATGTCAGCAGGCACATGGCTCGTGGCTGCCGTGTTAGAAAGGAAAGCTGCAAACAGCCCGTTGGCAGACTGCTGGGTGGCAAAAGTGTTGAACTGTGGTGGAAAGAAGGGAAATTTCTCCCTGTCTTGTTGCTCACGCTAGTGTCTGGCGCTGTTGGGTTCTGTTTGTAAATGTTTGTGGAGGGTCTTTTCAATGAGTATATTTGGGTCCCATGCCAGGGGCTAGAGAAGTGGTTGGTCTGTCCCCTAGGCACTCCGGGGGATGGCAGAAATCCTGAGCGGGTCTCAACTCCCACACATCGTGTGGGGCCTCACAGGGGACAGTGCTCACACCTGAGCCCCAGCCGCGAGCCACACCCACTCTGGCGGCGTTTTCACCTGTGAACCCACTTGGCCCTACTCCCCATGCTGTGAGACGGGGCAGGGGTGGGGTGGGGAGTGTCCTCATTTCCCACAGGGGGAGACGTGGAAAGGGGAACTCACTTTACTCTGGCCTCCAGCTAGTAGGTGGCAGAGCTGGATGTGAACCCGTGTCTGTCTGGCCACGAAGTCCACACTTTCCCTGAAAGACTATGTGGTCCATGCCTTTCTCCGGGACTGTGACCCTTCCAGAGCAGGGATGGACTTACTCACCGAGCCACAGGTGCTCTGTAGCCCTTAGTCAGAGAGACGGATGTGGGGATCGGAGGGGAGAGGGCGAGGGTGCTGAGGGCTGTTGCCTGGTAGGTGAGCTCTGTGCCCGGCCACGTCCCCACCTGTCCTGGCATCTCCAGACTGGGCAGTGACCTCGCTCTCCTCTCATCTGGCAGCCCTTCAACCATGGACACAAGGTGGCCAAGTTCTGCTATGCAGATAAGGTAAGGCCCTGGCGACTTCGGGTTGGGCTGCTGGCCCTCTGTTGCCTTCCTGGCTGCTGGCCTGGAGGTGGGCTTCAGTGTCTGCTTCCCTCTGTGGCCGTGGTGGGCGGATGGGTGGAGTCTTTCACAGCCTGGCCCGCCTGGGGTTCAGTAGAGCCAGATGAGAGCTGCGTGGGCCGGGGCTGACATCCCCCGACATGCCTATGGCCGTGAGGCAGCCTGGTTTCCAAGGGGCGTAGATTCTGCAAGGCTGAGTCAGGGACATTGGAAACACCAAGGATGGGAAGGTAGAGGGTCGGCATCATGGGGGGCAGTGAGAGGGGTTGGGGTGCCCTGTGGCAGGGGGTCTAGGAGCTGGCCTCATGGGGCAGCGAGGGCATGCTGGTGTCAGGTTGGAAGTCTCAGGCTATGGTTCTGTGCACCTGACCTTGAGGGCTAGAGGCTCTGGCTGGTGGGCTTGGGGGCCCTGGGAAGAAGGTGAGGCCCTAAGGAGCCCACAAGAGAAAGCAGAGCTAGCTTACCAGCTGGGGGACTTGCTGCCAAGTCCCCTGGCATGCAGACCTTCCTGGCGGGTCCCTCAGACCTCCAGATGGCCGCAGGAAAGGCCTAGAGCCTGGGGTGGGCTGGCAGGTGGGACACTGTTTGCTACTGTGTATGTGAGGGTGGGGGGATCCACGGGTCCCTGGGTGGAGGGTGACCTCCAGTCTCCCTGCCCGTTCCCCTGGGACCCTTGCTGCTGTGGGAGACAGCCCTGAACCTGTTCCTCTTCATTAGGGTGTACTCAACAAAGCCATTGAGGCTGCGTTGGCCGCCAGGAAAGAGTGGGACCTGAAGCCCGTCGCAGACCGGGCCCAGATCTTCCTGAAGGCAGCAGACATGCTCAGCGGGCCGCGCCGGGCAGAGGTCCTTGCCAAGACCATGGTGGGACAGGTGAGGTGCCCGTGGGCACAGTCGGGGTGGGGTGGGAGGCTGTGGTCACGCACCATCCAATACAGTAGCCTTGAGCTGGGCTGCTTCGGGTGCTGGGACGAGCTCCGTGCTGGATACAGAGAGATGTCCCGAGACCCCGTGCCGGCCTCTAGGCTTAGTCAGCCCTCCGCAGCCCTCTGCAGCCCTCCGAGGGGCCCTTCTGACACCTCTAGCAGAGGCTCACAAACCACCGGGGTCTGTCCGTGACAGTCATGTCCAAGTCCTGTGCTCAGGGCCCTGTTTCCGGCCCGTGCCCAGCTTGCCGGCGGCTCTGCCCGTGAGGTTACCAATCTGGATTTAGCAAGATCCTGGACACCAGGCATCCCTTCTCCCTGCCTCTCCCTGCTGGCCCTGCCTGGCATGCTCCCTTTCTGCCCTGTGAACGCTTCCCTTCGAGCTCCTGCCCGGACATCACCTCCTCTGTGAGCCTTCCAGAATCTTCTCTGTCCAAAAGGATTTGTCCCGCTTCTGCGCTCCCATAGCGTGCTGTTTGTTTGTCCGTTATAGCTCAGGTCCTGTTGGGTACAGTGAGTTCCTGTGTGTGTATCACCTCTTTACAAGCTTTTTTGGGGGAAGAAATGGAGTTAGCTGTTCTCTCTCTTCCCAGGCTCACAGCACGTCTTCCTGCAGTCATAGGTCCTGAGGGATGTTTTCGGACTGCGTGCATGGGGAGCCAGGGAGAGGCACCAGCAGCTCCAAGTGGGGAAGGGAGCCTGTGGCGGGAGAGGAAGCCTTAGGCTCTTGGGTCGCCTGGTCCTGGCCAGCTCCCCGCCACCCCCCCCAACCCCCTCCTCGCCGCCCCCCCAACCCCCCCGCCCCCGCCGCCCACCCCCACCCTGTCCTGTGCTGAGAGCCCCCTCTGCTGCACGGAGGTGGTATGACAGCTCCTTGCCGGCTAGGGGTCTGTCTCTTGGTTCTCAGCAGCCCCTGCAGTGGTTGTGGGCTCCGCAGTGTCCCCGGTGAGCCACACACACTCGGTGGCCAGATTAAGGTGCTTTATTGGACTAAAGTCTCAGGGGCTTCTCAGAAGTGTGGTGACCTCACAGAGCCGGGCAGGGCATCTTAGCTGCTGTGGCTGCAGGTCCTGAGCAGGGTGGCTGTTGACAGTGACTGTGTGCCAAGGAGGGGCTGCCCTGATCCGGAAAAATCCCATTCTTGCAGCCCAGAGGTCCTCCCTGGACCCTCCTGTCTGTCGGGAGGAATGGGCAGTGAAGGAAATGTTGGCCGCTTTCGGGCCTCCTGCTGCTTGTTCCAAGTGCTCCCAGTGAGGGCACCTGCTCCCCTGGGGAGAAGAGAGCCGCCAGCACTGTGGGCCCACAGTCAGTGTTGGCAGAGGGCCGACAGGAGGCACATCGGTCACCACTGACCCTCTGGTGGTCCTGCACGCAGGGAAAGACGGTGATCCAGGCAGAGATCGACGCGGCGGCTGAGCTCATCGACTTCTTCCGGTTCAATGCCAAGTTTGCCATGGAGCTAGAGGGCCAGCAGCCCCTCAGCGTGCCACCCAGCACCAACAGCGTCGTGTACCGGGGACTGGAGGTACCCACAAGCGTGGGGCGGGCAGAAACCTGCTGGAGGAAGCCAAGAACTTGGCCTCACCACCTCCCCCTCCCCCAGGGCTTCGTGGCGGCCATCTCCCCCTTTAACTTCACAGCGATCGGCGGCAACCTGGCTGGGGCGCCGGCTTTGATGGTGAGACGATGACATGGATGGTGAGATGGGGCTGGGCGGGCTGGCAGCTCTCCTCCCTGCCTCCGCAGACAACAGTGGCCCAGCCCCGGCTGTGGGGAGACACCCAGAAGGTGGAAGCCGTGCGGGCCCCTGGAAAGGCTTTGGGGTCTGAGACTGGTTTGGATCCCAGCTCTGCCCCATGCTGGGGAATCCCCAGGCAAGCCCCCAAACTTTTCTGAGGTGGTTTCTAACTCCTTAAAGTAGAAATCCAGTAGGAGAGCCCAGAGTACAGCGTTGTGGGGAGCATGTGTGGGACACGCATGTGAGACATGTCTGGCCTGGCCTGATATGGGCTTCAGGGAAGGTTGACAGTGATGGCAGATCCCCTTTCTAGTGTCTACTGTGTACCCTACAAGTGACTTGTCAAGTCTAGGAAATGACCACACAGTAAAGATTCGGGCTTAACTTCCAAGTCCCTGGCTCCCCTCCCCTTGTCAGGTAGAAGGTGGCTGTCACCCTCATGAACCCCCACCAAAGTGGGGGGTGATGCAGTCATGCTCTTGGAGGGTCTGGGTGGCTCGTGGGGCAATAGGAGGAGGGCTGGCAGGTGGCAGGGGCCTGGGCCCCACATGGGGCAGCTGGCTGGTCTCGAGTCTGCTCCTGCCCAGAGCTGTCCTCCTCCTATGCATCTGTGCATAGACAGACATGCACACACCCAGGTGCCCCCGTGTCCTCAGCCAGGACACATGCAGAGACAGCCCTGTGAGCACTTGCCTGCCATGCCCAGTGAGCGCCCAGCGACGTGGAAGCACTCAGAACAGACCTGCCGGAGGCGTGCTGGCAGGACCCGTCAGTACAGGCTTCCAGAAGAAGGGGACCTTGGCCAGAGCAAGGGAACAGAGGGGGCAGGGTGTGGTCTCACTGGCGAGGGTGTTTGGAACACCGTGCCTGACACCTGGAACCGTGGGGACATCCTGGCCTACCGAAGGGCCTGGTGGCTCCACTTGAGGGATAGCCATGCTTCAGGGTGGAGGGGCAGTTGGGTGGTGACCCCTGCTTTGTGTGTCATTGCCGTGCCTCCCGGGCAGGGCAATGTGGTCCTGTGGAAGCCCAGTGACACCGCCATGCTGGCCAGCTATGCCGTCTACCGCATCCTCCGGGAGGCGGGCCTGCCCCCCAACATCATCCAGTTTGTGCCAGCTGATGGGCCCACGTTTGGCGACACGGTCACCAGCTCGGAGCACCTCTGCGGTATCAACTTCACAGGCAGCGTGCCGTGAGTCCCCGGGGCACGGTGGGGCGGGGGCATGGGGACGTTCACCAGGCGATCTGGGAGCCAGAGGTCAGGCACAGATCATACCTACGGACTTGCTGTGTGGCCTTGGGTGGCTCACTTCACCTCTCTGAGCCTTCATTTCTTGACCTATTCAAGAGGAACATGGTCCCGACCTCGCAGGGCGATTGTGAGATTCCAGTGAATGATCCAAGAGGAAGAACTTCATGGGCTGGAAGCAGCCTACAGGCGTTTGGTGGTGCTGATTTTGATGCCTCCTCTGTCACTGGGAAGGGCACAGAGGAGCTTGGAATGAATTGGAGGAAGCAGGAAGGCTTCTTGGAGGAGGTGGTATGTAGGCAGAGGTGATAGCCAAGCAAAGAGGCGGTAGGGAGAGTGCTGTGGGAGAGGGAACAGCACGTGCAAGGCCTCAAGGCTAAAGCTCCTGCGCTCGGGGTGCCAGTGGTGGTTCTGTGGGGCTGGAGTGTGGGGTGCCGGGGCCGCGGGAAGAGTGGGCGCGGGAAGCAGTTCAATCGTTTATTCAGTAATGATCAGGTATATACATCCGGTGAATATGTGGGCAAGTCCTGATTCTCGGAGGGTTGAGTCCCATGACTGTAAGGCCCTGTGAGCCCACAGAGGGGTCTAGACCTTATCCCGAAGGTGATTGGGAGCCACGGAAGGTTTCCCCCCAGGGTGTACATGAAGCAGCAGCTTTTCAAGCAGAGTCTGCCGGTGGTAGTAGCTCTCTAGTTGGACCTGGCAAGTGGCCTTGTCTACTCTGACCCCTAACTGAGATGGACCAACCTTGTACAGTTGGGACGGTTTCATGCAGAAATCTTTTTGAGATTTCAGGCTGCTTTTGAGAACCTGCCCGTCTGGGCCTGCGTGTCCATGGGGCACCCCTGGCTGGAGGTAGGGGTTTAGTGCTCTCCGATCCCTGCCAGCCTCAGCGGGCCCAGGGCCTCTGCATACATGGTCACTTTTTTCCTAGTCTGGCCCCGCTGGGGCCCTGCCTTTGTAGTCTCTGTCCCAGATGATCATTCTGGCTTCTCTGTGCATAAGTCCCCAATGGCCAGAGCGGGACACCAGTGAGGAGGCCACCCCTGTCCAGGAGGGGACAGTAGAGGACTGAAACAGGGTAGAGATGGTGGGATTGGGTTTAGGTGAGCAGGTGGCAGGGAGACGCGATTGTGTGTCCATGGGATTGGATCAGTGGATGGATGGGGGTCCGTGGGAAAGTCCAGGGGCTGGGCGGAGGGGCTTCTGGAAGGCGTGGGTGGACATGACAAGTCCCATGCTGGTCACCTTGAGTGTGGGGAGGTGCTCAAGAGTCATCTGAGTGGAGATGTCAAGGTCTGCCCTAGGGGGTCCTTCCTGGTGACCCTGGGGACACCTTGCGGTGGCTTTTGTCTCCCTTGCCCGGCCTTGGGCCCTCCTACCCCCCTTCCCAGGCTTTGCTGGGCGTGATGGCAGCATTAAAATTGCTGAGGAGGACCGTTTTCCAAAAAGGCCCCCTCTGTCAGCGTGGGCCCCACGGGTCCCTGCCTGTTAGCGGGCGGAGCAGGCCTGGCCCCCATTTGCCATGCTCTGATGAGCGGAGGGCGTAAAGGTAGGAAAGTCATAAATTAGTATTAGCTACTGTGTCGCAGGCTGCCTGGTGATTAGCATTTTTATTGTTTTGTGGTGCTGAGGTTGGTCACACTTGGAGCTTGGGGAGGAGGTGGGGGCCTGCGCTCCGTCTCCCAGGACCCTCCTTGGTTTGGCCTCTGGAGCCGGGGCGCTGGGCTGGGGGTGCTACTCTCTGTGGCCGTGTCTGTCCCCCGCTGGGCACCTGCAGCGTGTCTGGCACTGACCGAGGCGCTTGACTCCCGCTGGAGCCACCGCAGAGCAGCGCTGCCAGGTGGGAACGTTCTCTCCAGGTCCCCGAAGAGCGGCGCCATTCAAGGTTGAGTGATGAGTGCGAGGTCCCATGGCCATGAGTGTCGGAATCGGGGCCCCTGGCCTTGTCGGCCTCATCTTGCGGCCAAGCCTACCTTTGCTCCCTGCCACGGGCCCCGAATGTAGTCTGTCTCCGGCTGCCCCTGCCTACTCCGTTCCCCTTGTCCAACCCTCGCTCTGACCCCTGCCCCCACCTGCTGGGCTTTGGGGCCCCTTCCTCTAGTAGGGCTTTCTCCCTACTCCCCAGGACCCTCACTGTCCCAGGGGCCTGAGCCTCACTTCCTAATCCTTGCCCTGTCCTCTGCTTTCAGCACCTTCAAACACCTGTGGAAGCAGGTGGCCCAGAACCTGGACCGGTTCCGCACTTTCCCGCGCCTGGCCGGAGGTGAGGGTCCCTTTCTACCCGGTGCCCTCCCTGTGGCTCCCGGGCACCCCTCCCTGACTCATGAAAGAGGAAGACGTGATGCCCCCATGGCGGGGTGGGGGGGCAGCCCTGGAGAAGCTGAGCAGGGAGGGGCCTTAGGGGTGGAGCCTCAGCTCTGCTCGATCCTGGGGCCTGTGCCCTTGAATGTGTAGTTCATTTGTCATTAGCAGATGAAATGCTAAGGAGCTACGTAGGCACTCTGGACACCAGTGGTGCTATGAGGGCAAGAGACACAGAGCCAGCCCTCAGGAGCTCGTGTTCCGTGCCAGCTGGCAGATAGTGGGCACACAGTGATGGGCAGAATCCACGGAGAGAGAGGCAGTGTGCAGAGTCCCTGGGGCTGGGTGTGGTGGCTGGAGGGGTGTTCCTTCTCAAGGAAGGAGCCTTCGAGCTGAGACCTGGACCCAGAGAGGAAGCCAGCCTCACAAAGATCTGGGGAGGCCGAGCTGTTGCGGGCCCTGGCGCCGTGCAGTAGAGCTTCGTACGGTGATGGCAAAGTTCCGTGTCCAATGCGGTCTGGGTGGGGGCCCATGGGTGCCTGTTGAGCACTTGACAGGCGCATGGTATGACCAAGGAAGTGAATGGCATGTTCTGCTTCGTTTAAATTAGTGTGAATATAAATGGCTACATGCATCTGGCAGTGGCCACTTACTGGGATCGAGGCAGAGGGACCTGCTGGTGCGGAGGCCAGGGGGTGGGAATGAGGCCAGTGTAAGTGGCATAGGGAGGCAGGGGGCCAGCAAGACAGGGGCCTGAGAGCTCAGCATGGCTGGAGCTTATAGCAGTACTACAAATGTTCCCACAAAGAAACACCCACATGGTTGAGGAGATTTCTGTGTAGAAGCAAAACAGAGTCCTTTGCTGCAGGACTTCTCAGAGCCTTTAATGCTTTTAAAGGTATGACTTTTCTCTAGGAGTCAGGACTGATACGTGTTTCCCAGACTCTCTGGCTCACAGAACCCCATTTTTGTGGAGGCTCCCATGGACCAGGATTTTTTGGGGGAAAGGGCTGAGCCCCTGAGAGAGGGCTGTCCAGGGTCCCACAGCACAGCAGCCACAGAGCAGGGGCTGGTGGTTCAGCATTCCTGCTCCAATGGATGAAGTGGGGCCCACGGGGAAACTGGACCCACTCCTGAGCTGGTGGGCTCTCTGATGGGGGTTCAAAGAAGGGGTGGCATCTCCACCCCAATCCACCCTTCACAAGATGGGAACAGTGTGCTGGATCTGGGTTTCTGTTCCCTGCCCCCTTCCTGCTGTGCCCCAAGGAAGGGAGACTACCACTTCTCTGCCACCTCCCAGCCTCCAGACTTAATCTCTCTGTGTCTCAGTTTTTTTTTTTTTTTTAAGATTTTATTGATTTATTTGACAGAGCGATCACAGGTAGGCAGAGAGGCAGGCAGAGAGAGGGGGAAGCAGGCTCCCTGCTGAGCAGAGAGCCTGATGTGGGCCTTGAATCCAGGACCCCGGGATCATGACCTGGACCGAAGGCAGAGGCTTAACCCACTGAGCCACCCAGGCGCCCAGTTTTCTTTTTTTCTTCTTAAGTTTTTATTTAAGTGATTTCTGCGCCCAACATGGGGCTCGATCTCATGACCCAGAGAGGAAGAGTTGCGTGCTCTTCCGACTGAGCCAGCCAGGCACTCAATATTTTTGCCTTTAAAATGGGGATAAGAGGGTTGGTGTGAGGCTTTCCTGAGACAAAGCAGGAAGTGTTTTGAGCAGAGCTTGGCAGGTGATTAGTGTTTTGTGACTGGGAGCTGCTGGTCAGGGAGATGCTGGTCATTCGTGTTTCAGGGAGGGAGGAACCAGGGCCCAGGGGCTGAGAAAACAGGGGTGGGGGGGGGTTTGGTTAGCTCCCATGAGTAGGGAAGAGGGACCAGCCCTGGAAGCCAGCTTGGAGTGGAGCCCTGCCCTCTCCTCTCACTGGCCTGGGGGTCTGGAAGGGGCAGAGAAAGCGGTGTGTGCTTCTGGGAATGGATTGGCTCCTGCGAGGCTCAGATCCTGGTCTTTCTGCCTTGATGGTGGGCACGCCCCTGCCCTAGCCTTGGTTTCCCCAGCCATGGGGTGGGAGATGGGTCTGGCTCGCCGGCTTCCGGGGCGCTGTCCAGCTGTGACCTGGGGTTGGGGCTGCACACACCTGTGCACAGGTGGGATGGCGGGCCGGCGGGGGAGCCGGCTCCCCTCACACCCCCGTCCCCTGCAGAGTGTGGCGGGAAGAACTTCCACTTCGTGCACCGCTCTGCCGATGTGGACAGCGTGGTGAGCGGGACCCTGCGCTCGGCCTTCGAGTACGGCGGCCAGAAGTGCTCGGCCTGCTCCCGCCTCTACGTGCCCAGGTCGCTGTGGCCGCAGATCAAAGGGCGGCTGCTGGAGGAACACAGCAGGATCAAAGTGGGCAACGTGAGTGGTGTCCTCCCTGCCACAGCCCAGTGGGAGGTTGATGGGATTGGATGCTGGCCGGGGGAGGGGGGGGAGGGGGGGCTGGGGTGCACGGGGAAGGGGCTCCCTTTGTCTCGGGCCTATGGTGACTCAATCTGACTCACTCGAGCTCCTCTGGGACCTCCCCTCCTCCAGCCGGCAGAGGATTTTGGGACCTTCTTCTCAGCCGTGATTGATGCCAAGGTACAGGCAAGAAGCAGGTGTTCTGGGGGGGCAGATCCTGGCCCAGGTGGGAGAGGGAGTAGGAGATGTGGGGGCCTTGACGAGGGGTCACCCAGCCCCACTGCCTCAGGCAAGGCAGTCCGACGGCCGCACGGATGCCCCAACCTCGAGCTTTGAAACCTGCAGAAACATCCATAAGCAGACAGCTTGCTCCCTACACACCCTGCGGCCAGGCTCGGCCAGCCCCTGCTGAGTGTGGGTCCACACGTGTGCTCAGATAGGCCTGTGGGGCCATAGCCTGTGCCCACACACTTGTGTGTGTGCGTACCCACGAATACAGATGGGCTCGGTGCATAGGCAGTCACCTACAGGAGCAGACACACCCACATACATGATACACTACATATGTGCACGTGTGTCACGTGTGTCCATATGTATATAGATGGACGTCATCTGCATTCATACATGTGTGTGTGTGTGTAACACGGGCGTGTCCATACACAGGTACTTCAGCATGAAGGCTCGTGGCCATGCACATGCCCATGTGTACATTCTTGTGTGTGTTGTGTTTCTGTAAGTGTAATTGTGGTCCACACACACACACAGACACAGACACGCATGCTTGTCTGCCCTTGTTTCTGCCGTGCCTCGTTTGGACCCTGGCTCGGCCCTCTCCCCATCCCCCCATGCCAGAATTTGGGCCCTTCAGGGACAGATATGCTGGGGTGAGCGTGTTGGGGGCCTGCTGCTGGGCACGGCCTCCCAGCCAGTCTGTGACCTCCCTTCCTCCCCACCTACCGCAGTCCTTCAGCCGCATCAAGAAATGGCTGGAGCACGCCCGCTCCTCCCCCAGCCTCAGCATCCTGGCGGGGGGCAAGTGTGACGACTCCGTGGGCTACTTTGTGGAGCCCTGCATCGTTGAGAGCCAGGACCCTCAGGAGCCCATCATGAAGGAAGTGAGTGGGGCGGGCAGCCGGGGGCACAGACCACAGTCTCTCCCCCGAGCCCAGCACACGTGGGATCCTTGTGTGTGGCTTCCCGCTTGTGGTGCTACCCAGACCCACAGCTGGAGTGTGAGGTTCTGGAAAGGGAGTGTCTCCCTCCCAGTGAGAACAGAGCCAAGCCTGGCTTTCCGGCTTCCTGACCCCAAATCCAGGGCTCTGCCTTTGACACTGCAGAGCCTGGCGGCGTCCCAGCACTTCCACGAGGCCACAGTCCCCATCTTAACTCTGGGCTGGCCACAGCTGGACCCTGGACTGAGAGGAGAGGTGATATACCCATTTTATAGATGAGAAATTGAGGCTCCAAGGGGTGAAAGCACTTGCCCAGGATGGCAGTGCAGGGCCCAGAGGACAGTGATATTGCCGGGCTGTTCCTGTGCTGCGTACTGCCAGGTGTGGGTTTGGCTGGTATGGAGAAAGTATCCTGGGACCTCCTGCCAGGTTGGGATGGGGTCGGCGTGGCAGGAACCGTGTGTTGCTCTCTGGAGGGAGCCCAGCGGGAGGCACCTGGCCCTTCTTACAGGTGCTGAGCTGTGGCCCAAGGCCGGGGAGACGGGGGAGGGGTGGAGACCAGAGCAGGGGGACTGGGAGGCCTTGGGGCTCAAGTCCAGGGTGGGTGTGACCCTGGGCTTCTGTGTCAGGAGATCTTCGGGCCTGTGCTGACCGTCTATGTCTACCCAGACGAAGGGTACAAGGAGACGCTGCGGCTGGTCGACAGCACCACCCGCTATGGCCTCACGGGGGCAGTGTTCGCCAAGGATAAGTGAGTGGCCACCGCCCTTCTGCTCTTGGCCTGGTGTCCTGCCCCATCCCGTCCCTCGATCATCCTCCTGGATGAGGATCCTAGTCCTAATGCCGTCCCTTTCCCTCACTTCAGCCCCAACCAGCAAGCAGGCGGGCCTCCCAAGCACGGGGATACGGGCACCTGGGCTCCTTACTGAGATGCATATTCTGGGGTCCCAGAAGGCACCTGCCGAGGTACCTTTGAGCCCGGAGGCCATGAAGCTAAACCCTTGGCTTTCCCTTCCTCCTTGCACTAGCTGCTGCCCCCTCTGCCTCGAGATCATGGAGATGAGATTGGGACCTGGGGGCGGTAGGGGGGGGTCTTGGGGGGTTCCTCCAGCTCCCCAGGGCAGAGGAGGGGACAGGAAAATGGGACCAGGATGGGCCACTCAGAGGCTCTCAGACCCTGCCCAAGGGGTCTAGAGCCCCGTGGCCAGATCCTGTCAGCTGGGCAGCTGGTATGGGCTGGGCCGGTCCCCATCAGCTGGGAGCCACTGCGGGCTGGGCTGGTTGGTGGGGGTCAGACCTGGGGCGGGGGGCAGGCGAGCCGGCTCCCCTCTGACCACTGCCCTGCCGTGCAGGGATGTTGTTCAGGAGGCCACAACGTTGCTGAGAAACACAGCCGGCAACTTCTACATCAACGACAAGTCCACTGGCTCAGTGGTGGGCCAGCAGCCCTTTGGGGGGGCCCGAGCCTCTGGTGAGTGGGTCCCTTCTCTGCAAAGGAGGGGCAGGTTCTGTCAGGAGACTCTTCAGCCCTCACGTCAGGAGTGTTAAGAGTAATAGCCAACACTGTGGGCCGGAGCTAAGGAAGGTAGTTCTTCCCATTTGACAGAGGGGTAAACTGAGGCACCAGGAGGCGAAGTGACTTGCTCAGAGGCACCTGGCTGGGAAGTGGCAGAGCTGGCATTTTGGTTCCAGGACCCACGCCTTTTACCACTGTACTCCAGGTCACCTCAGTGCAAGTCTGTTCTGTTGACAAATGGGGAAACTGAGGTTAAGAGTGGGGCGGTGGCTCATGCTAGGTCCCAGCTGCCTTGGCGCAGAGCCAGGGCCAGACCCAGGGCTCCTGGCTCCCAGTGGAGCATGTTCTTCATGGTGCTCCCGGACACCCCCTTGCAGGCAGGGCACATGGCCCCAGGGAGCGTGGGTCCTGCCTCCCCTGGCCTCACTCAGGAGCCCTGGCCTCGTGGACACGTTTAGTTTCTCTTGAGCTGCTTATTGCCATTGCTGGTGCCCTGTTAGTCGGTCAGCTCTACCCACTCCCTTTCCCTTGGGCCCGGGGCTGCCGTGTCTTTTCGGAGGCAAGCAGAGCTGTCTTTTCCACAGGAACCAATGACAAGCCAGGGGGGCCTCACTACGTGCTGCGGTGGACGTCGCCCCAGGTCATCAAGGAGACCCACGAGCCCCTGGGGGATTGGCGCTACGCCTACATGCAGTGAGCCCCACCCGGTGCCTCTGCTGTGTGTCCACCTGTCTGTCGGGACAACCCACCTCAGAGGCCTCGCCCCGCTCCGGCCCCTTTGACCTGCTCCCCGTGGGACTGCCCCCCTTGCCCCGACTGGGCTTTATCCTGGCCTGTCCCACACCCCTCAGGGGCAGGTGCCAGCTCTGATTTGAGACCTGCTGGAGGGGAATGGGGCTGCTGCCCCTTCTCTCATGGCTGCCCTGGAGATTGTATCTGGCAGGTTCTCTGCCCGTCTTCTTTCTCTGCACTGTGGCCCCGTGGCTCGGGCACCTGGGGAATGGCAGTACAGTGCCTTCCAGGATCCCTTAGGGACCAGGGGGCAGCTCTGGGCCCCTTGGTGAACCTGAGCATCCACAGAGACTCCTGGCCTTGGCCTCAGCTCCTCTAGGGCTCCAGGATTAGCTATGACCCAGGGTGGCTACAGGGCATGGGGGCACCAGCTTGCCTGACCCTCCCTGGTCTGGGCTGCCCACCTTCCTCCCCAGCGGTTGGCCCATGCCCACCTGGGCCAGCGGGTACCTGGGCCTGATCTGGTGCCTTAGACACCCCTGTGCCTTTGTCCAGGGCGCCCATGTTCTCTGAAGGCCCATGTGACTCCTGGCAGTCCCTCTGTGTGGGCTTGCAGGGCTAGCAGAGGCTCTCTGTCGAGGTACAGGATTTGGTGGGCCTTCCTATATGGGCTGTGGTTTCGTAAAACCCCGGGGGGCCTTCATGCCAACTCAGCTTGCCGTTGGCTCACAGCTCCCCACCTGTGTGGGCCCAGGGCTTCCTGCAGGAGCTCGGTCCCCACCAGCTATGGTAGAACAGGCCTGGGGAGACTGCTCCCACCTTCTCCCAGCCTCAAGAACTAGCCTTGGGTTCCTGTCCTGCCCGGGCTGAGGATGGCCCCGTAGAACCTTCCTTCCCTGGCATAGAAGTGGCTCTGTGTGGACTAGCCCCCAGGCGGCCCAATCTTCGACAGAGCCAGCTGGGGGACACTCAGAATTGGATTGAATTGGGGGACATTGAATTGGATCGCAGGGGGCTGGGGACTGATAAGGGGTGACTTCAGAGGACAGTTTTTAAGGGTCCTGGTCCTTTGCCGAGGACAGCTGGCATGGGTCCCCTGTGGGGCTGTCCCCCAAGCACCGTGGTTGTACACTGTGGCTTGCAGTCTGGTGGGCATGCTGCTGGGACAGGGCATAGTTCTGCTTCCTTCCAAGTTCCTCATGGCTGCTGGGAGAGGCTGGGGCCGTCATCTGGGGGGAGGTGCTGGAGGTGGTCCTGGTTCCACAGATGTGAAATTGCCAGGTGGCGGTGGGCTTCTCTCAGCAGACACCCTCGTGAATGCTTGTTACGTAGATTGCTGGTCTTTCTGGTGGGGGCTGGGGGGCTAGCTTCTCCAGACAAAGGCTGATGTGTGGGATGTGTGTTGCTCCCATGTCCTTGATGTCAGGAGTTCGGGGGCCTCGGTGTGATGGAGGGAAGGGCGGGCACTGAGGTTTGGGAATGTGGGCTGGAGGTATGAGAACTCTGGAGTCGGGTGGGCTCAAAGCCTGGCTCTCTGCCTCCAGAAAGTTGTTCAACCTCTCTGATCTGTCTCTTTCTCTGTGAGCTGGGTAATAATACACATACACACGTGCACACACGCACACAGATTGTAGTGACGACTGAGTTAATTCATGTAATTGTTTAGAACAATGCTAAATACAGAATGAATGATTGAGCCATGTATGCATTGTAACAGCCACTGTTACCGTGTTGTGATGGTTTAAGTTTACGTGAAAACTGAGCTGGGCTGTGGTGCCCAGATAGTTAGTTAAACATTATTCTGGATATTTCTATGAAAGTGGTTTTTGGACGAGATTGACATTTAAATCAATGGACTCCCAGGTTAAAGCCCATTGTCTTCCGTACTGTGGGTGGGCCTCGTCTAACCAGTTGAAGGCCTTCATAGCACAAAGACTGACCTCCTCCAAGCAAAAAGGAATTCTGCCAACCGACAGCCTTTGAACTCAGCTGTGACTCTTCCCTGGGCCTTCAGCCCACTGGTCTGCTCTGCCAATTTTGTACTTACCAAGCCTCCAAGATTGTGTTAGCAGTTTCCTTACAATAAGTCTATTCTGTTCGTTTTCTCTGGAGGACTGTTTTTTCACAGCAGCTGGGTGGAGTACATGCTGCTGTGCTCCCATTTCACAGAAGAGGAAACGGGTGCAGGGGGGGTGAAGGGACTTGCCAACGCTGTGGCCTGTCGTGGGGACTCTCTGATTCCCAAACCCATTCCCTGTCCTCCCCCCAGATGTCCATACGTGGCACCGACCTACCTTGGGAAGACCTCAGCTGGCCAAATTGGGGTGGGGCGGGGAGCGGCAAGGAACCACGGCCAGCTAGCTTGTGCCCAGAATCTGTGGGTCTAAGTCCATGTGGGCCGGCTGACTTGGAGGGGGAATTGTCCTGGGCTGCCTGCAAAGGACAGAGGAAGAGCTCCTGGCCACGTGACCCCTCCCTGTCCCGGGACCCACTGATCGGGACTGTTGGGGGCAGGATCCCAGAGCTGTGCGGGGGGGATGGAGACTCTGCCCTTGGCAGCGCCCCCACCTGGCTTCCCCAGGGGCTTTGTGCCAGAGGGGGCTGCTTCACTCAGGGACATAGGGTGGCCCCAAGAGGGCCCCGGCTGGGGCTCCTGGGTGGCAGAGGTGGCAGCTGCATTTATAGACGAAGGGTAGAGCTGTTAGTTTTCCAGCAAATGGACTGACTTGCTCAAGGTCACACGGACACAGCTGAGTTGGCATTCTCTGCCTGGTCTCATCTAGCCTGACATTGACCTTACTGGCTGTTACCTGCCTTCTGTGGAAGGACTAGTAGGGGTCACATGTCTGGTTCATAGGGGACTGGGGTTTGAGCCCCTGAGTGGGTGCCCACAGGCCCTGCTCCCTGCCCGCGGCCCCTCTTCCTCTGCCTACCCCCTTACCAGGTGCCTTTGCCTCCTTTTAATGGGGACGGGGGCCTGACGCCTGGTGCCCACCCTCCTGGCATGGCCACCCTGGCCAGTGCCTGTGTCCGCAGTGACCCGAGGAGCCTCTTCATTTCCCTGCGGTGGTCGGGGGCCGCCACCAGTGCGGGCTCGGAGCATGAACCATTTGACTGAGGCCGGATGTCCCTGCCACCGCTGGGTGCCAGCCGGGTGTGCACTCTAGGGAAATGAGCCACCTGTGCTGGCTCTCAGATGCCAGGCTGACCCAGAGCTCCTGGGCTTGGGGTGGGGGGGAATCCAGGAAGAGGCAGGATGGAGACCCACCCTCTTCGTTTCCCTGAAGCTGCCGCGGGCGTGGTACCTGCACATGGTCTGTCAGGCCGGCACGGGAAATAGCAAGAGCCACGTTATGTGGCTGCAGCCCGTGCACCAGGCCTTGTGCCACGTCTTTAGAGCCTCACTGCAGCCCTTTTGCAGACGGGGAGACCGAGGCTACACACCAGCAGGACATGGTCCGTGTCCGCCTGCCAGGCCTTTGCTCTTAAGTGCCGCAGCGCGCCTGGGAGCGCACACAGCCCTGGGGTCAGGTGGGCTCGGGTTCCCGACCCATCTTCGTGCCCCTTCCCCGAGCCTTGGCTCCCACGCCCATCCTGAGGCTTGGCACTTCTCGCGGAGCTGAGGATCACACGACACGTTCCCTATAGACTGAGGCGCTGGGTGAATAAGTACCGGTTATCCACTCCTGCCTCCCACCTCTGTCCTGGTTTCCTGTGCCCAGGCGCCACCGAGCACCTGTCACCGGGTCAGCCGCTCCCACCTGTTACCTGGAGCCATATGGGCCTGTGAGGGAGGCAGTGTTCTAGCCATTTCCCAGATGAGGAAAACAGCCCCTGGGAAGGAAGACCTGCTCAGTATGGGGCAGGGACAGAACTCTTCCTGGTGACCATACCAGCACCCCGTGGTCCCTTTGGCCTGGTCCCTTGCAGGAACCCAGCAGCTTCTGGGTGGGAACCATCCAGGGAGGGGACGGATGAGGCACGGCCGTCCCTGTGGCTCCAAGCACAAGCAGCCCACCTCCACTCTCGGGGTGCCAGCAGCCTTCCTGGAAGGTGGAAGGGGGGCCACACCACCCCTAGGTGTCTGGCATACATCGGAATTCTGCCCAAGGGCTCTGCCATCTCCTCCTCCAGGCCCCATGAGCCCAGGCAGTCACGCTCAGTCCCTGGAACACTCAGCACAAGGGGCCGGGTCAGGGCGAGGGAGCTGAGGTCCTGTCCGGTGCCCACTCCTAGGTGCGCGTGGAGGCAGGCATCTGGAGCAGATGGGGCTCAGAGAGGGACGTGCCTGGGATGTTCACACAGCCAGTAAGAGGCAGAGCCAGGGTCGGCAGCCAGGCTGGGCAGATCCGAGCCCTAGGAGGGTCGTACAGAGTCCTAGAGCCCAACCTTCTATCCAGGTTAAAATCGAGAACGCCACTGACACTGTGGTTCTGGTGTTTGCTCTCGTGCACTGAGCAGATTCCTGACAGGTTCGTCTCATTTACTCGCCCTCACCGAGGGTGGCTATGGCCGCTTCAGAGGCAGGGAAGCAGAGAGGAGTCAGAGCCGGCTGCCTGGCCCCCGGCCCCCCGCCGGGCTGGGCTGGGCCCATAGAGGCACAGGAACAGGACCGCCCCCTTCCCCATTCCGGCCCTTTCTCCTCCTGGCAAGAGCTTCCTGAGGCTTCCTCCCCGGGCTCAACGTGCTTGTTCCTTCATCTGCTCCCGTGGGACACAGTTTCTGCTACTTCTTCCACCCCGTGGCCTCTCCAGGGGCCACACCATCTGCTCCATCTACTTTTGCCTTTGAAATGTCTCTCAGAGGAGTGACTGATAAGGCTGAGGTCCCTGGGAACTGGCTTGAGGCCCACCTGCCCAGGGACCCTCTCCCGGGCTGTCTCTGAACAAGGTTGGCTGGGGCCACCCGTCCGCCAGACCTTCCCAGGGGTGGAGGTCCTGCCCACTGTGTCCCCCGCTGAGCTAGGTTTCCAGCTGCCCAATTTTGTCCTGGAGGAGGCGGCATAGGCAGGAAAGAAAGAGAAGGAAAATGCTGGGAGAGGGGGTGGGAGGCGGTTGGGGGGCACAGAGCAGTAAGGGGAACCATGTGCAAATCTGTAGAAAGATTGGAGGGTCAGGTGGAGGGGAAGAGCTGAGGCAGCCCCCCAGTCACTGGGGTCAGGCCTCTCTTCGGGGAGGCCCCTGTGCTCCACGCCCCCTCCAGACACCATGGTGGGGGAAGGAGGGAGGTTCAGGGAGCTCTTTCCAACCCAAAGCAAATGTGGCCAGTTTCTTTCTGTGAGCCCTGGGGGAAGCAGATGCAAGGCAAATGGCCAGCTTTTCCTGACCCCTGTGTCCTTGTCCCCTCTCCTCCACGTCCTTTGCATAAACCTGTCATGGTCTCTGCCACCCTGGCCACCGATGGCCACGCAGGTGTGAACGTGGGGACTTGGACCTGGACTGGCCATGAGGGCTTCAGTCGTGCTGGGCCCTGGCCACCTCGGAGTGTGTGCACCCCGAATGAGAGTGCCAGTGGTTCAGGGTCCCCGAGAACCTGTCCTCAGGGCGGGCTGCACCCCAGCCTCACCCACTTGCCCCTCTGTATGCATCCATGTCCAGGGCTTTCATCAGAATCTCAGAGGGATTCTCGCCCCTGAAATGCTAAGAAGCCCTGAGTCCATTTTACAGGGAGGGAGACTGCAGCCCAAAGCATGGCATTGACTTGCCTAGGGGTAGTTGGGCAGAGCGGGCCCGGAAGCCAAGACTCCTGACTCTCTGTCCAGTGCTCCTTCCTCAGACTTCGGCCTTCAGAGAGATCATCCCTGTCAAGGGGGCCCCTTATTCCTTTCTCATTGGAGCCCCTCAGGTGCCGCCAACCCCTGCAGCCCCCACCAGGGTCTCGGATTTCTCCAGTCCACATATTCGCTGTGTGGCTTTGGATAAGTTACTGTCCCTCTCTGAATCTCATCCTCCTTATCTGCCAAGTGGAGACATAACAGTAGCACATTGGAAGCATGACGGAGATGGGGAGGGCTCCACTCAGTGCTCGGCCCATCGTGAGCCTGCAGAACATGTTAGCAAAGGAGGTGACTGTGCGCATCGCCACCACTGTCCTCCCAGGCCATGTGGCACAGACCCTGCCTCCTCTGCAGAACCCATATCCCTGTGTGTCCTCGCTCTGTCCCTTGGACCCCACCCAGCCCTGCCACATGGCGGGCTCCCCAGTGTTGGCCGGGGGGAATGGCCTGCACCCAGGAATGCTTTCTTTCTCTACCATCTCCTTACCCACCCCATCCCCCGGCCTGGCTGATTTTGCTGGAAGTCTCCAGAATGTTCCAGAGTCTTTCAGCAACCAGCATCTTGGTTGTCCCTCCTCAGAACTGCCGTGTGTAGTCATTGTGCCCTGGAATGATTGATCCTTCTCCAGCACCAGCCTGGGTCCAAATCCTATTAGCTGTGTGACTCTTGGCAAGTTGATTAAACTTTCAGCCTCAGTTTCCTTGTTTGTTGGTTTGTTTTAAGATTTTATTTATTTATTTGAGAGAGAAAGAGAGCATGTGCAGGGAGAGGGGCAGAGGGAGAGAGAGAAGCCGACTCCCCACTGAGCAGGGAACTTGACATGAGGCTCCATCCCGGGACCCTGGGATTGTGACCTGAGCCAAAGGCAGAAGCTGAACCCACTGAGCCATCCAGGCGCCCCTCAGTTTCCTTGTTTTTATTTTTATTTTTTAAAGATTTTATTTATTTATTTGAGAGAGAGAGAGGATGAGTGAGAGAGAGCATGAGAGGAGAGAGGTCAGCGGGAGAAGCAGACCCCCTGCTGAGCAGGGAGCCTGATATGGGACCCGAACCCAGGACTCCAGGATCATGACCCAAGCCGAAGGCAGTCACTTAACCAACTGAGCCACCCAGGTACCCCAGTGTCCTTGTTTTTAAAGTGTGATTTAATAATGGCTGCTTCGCAGAGTATTTGAGAGAATTAAATGGTATAATGTACATAAAGTGCTTGACACGATGCCTGGCCTATACTACACCCTGGAAATGTGCTCTTTTGTTACCCTCCCCACTGCCCAAGTGTCCGGCTGGCAGGTGACTGGTCTTGGAGGCTCCAGCAGGCCATCCTGGGAACAGCCTCTGGGGACCCCATTCTCAGGAGGCCACTGTGGTTTGGGGCAGGCTGCACACGCAGGGTCACAGAGATGGCTGGGCTGGGGCCAGGCTGGGGAGGCCTCCAGCGCCAAGGCCAGGAGCCCAGCCATGATCGTGCAGGCAATGGGGAGTCCAGGAGGTGGTAGGGAGAGGAGGGGTAGAGCTGTGTTGTGAACTGTCAGCGTGGGGTGACAGAAGTCTAGAGAGGAGGTGAGGTGGGTCTGAACTTGGGTGTGGCAAGATGGGGAGGGGTCTGGAGAGAACCCCGTGGGTGAGGGGACAGAGGATGAAATCAAGCTGGGGCTTTTGACTTGCTGACGGCGGGGTGGGGGGGAATGGAGGATAAGGGCAATCCAAAGAGGGCTTCCCCTTGTACAGATGAGGAAACTGAGGTCCGTACAGTTGAGAGCCAGGCCCAGAACCCACCCCCCCAGAGAGCCAGGCACGGCTCTTCCTTTTGTGTTATGGGCTGGGTATCCCCTCCTGACCACTGGTTGACATCGGTCCAGAGAGGGGCAGGGACAGGCCCAAGATCACACAGCAAATCTGCACGTTTCCACAGCACCAGGAGGCTTTCCCGGTCATTCTATATGTCTGTGGGATGACTCCACCCCAGGAGGGGTCCGGGTGGGGAGGGGTGCTCCCCCTGAAGTTGCCAAAGATACCCAGTACCTTACAGGGAAGCTTCGTGAAGCTTTGGGCTCTTCCCGCAAGGTACGGCGTCCATGGCACCTGCCCCCGCGCCAACCCCATGGCACTTCCTTCCTTTACGGGAAAGGAAAATGTTGGTCTTTAGTTGATTTACCTTTCTCTGGGGTCTGCTCTGCACCCCTCGGTTCCCACATGCCACCCATCCCACCAGGCTGGAATTATTATCCCCATTTCAGGAGGGGAGAGAACAGAGGCTCAGAGAGATTAGTACCACCCGGGAGCGCACAGCAAACAGCTGAAGTTCAGTCCAGGTTGGCCGGAGTCATGTCTCAAGCTGCCTCGAGTGTGGACATAGCCGTCGGTGGGAACCTGTCAGCCACGTAAGGCTGTGAGCCGTGCCCCATGATGAAGCCCTTGAAGGAAGAGCCGGGCTTGGCTGGAGTGGGACAGGGCAAGACGGTGGGGTTTTGGGTCAGCTTTTGGTGTCTTGAAGCCTCCTCATAGCCCTGGACCCCAGGGGCCCTGATGGGACCTGTCTGCTTCGAGCCCCTGGGTGACCCCAGGCTCCTGCTGGGCCACGCATCGTCTGGGCTGGCAAGGACCAACACGGCATTACATGGACAGGGTCTCTGATTCAAATGGGTGCCTGGCTTGCTGGAACCATCCCCCTTCCATCCCACTTGGGATAGTCACCTTGGACTTTGGAAATGTTCAGCTTTCCTTTTTGACAGTACCCTGCCTCTTGGGGCTGGGTGCAAAGAGGGTGCCCCATGGGGGCTCACTCAGCAGAGCTGACTGACTGATTGTTGGGCTGGCAGAGGGAAGCTGCCCACCCCCCATTCTCTTTGCTGCTGCTCTGTATTTTTTCTCAAAGGAAGTAACTTCACGATGTAATATATCGTGGAGATGGAGAGCCAGGCCCTAGAATCTGACTGTGGGATTTGAATCCCGGCTTTGCAACCCAGGGTGGGTTTCTTAACTTCTTTGTGCCTCAGTTTCCTCATCTGTGAAATGGGACCAGTAATGGTCCTGGTTATCATGAGCATTGAACGAGATGGTGAATGGCAACCACGCAGCGCGACGCCTGGTTCTTATTGACAACGGCTGTTACTTCTGGAACACTTGCTATGGGTCAGATGCCATATACGAATTACCACATGCCAGCCTCCACTTGATCAGGGTCTGAAGCTTGGGATCCTTTTGTCAGCCTACTCTGTCTCTTGGGTGAGTATTTGTGTCCCTGACTCCCAAATGTTGGAAACGTTAGGGGCACGAGACCGGTCTTCAACAAGTGGCAGGCCAGGGAGTGTCCAAGTTAGCAGGACGTGCTTTCTCTACTTCCAGGTGGGGTTCTCCCAGACCACCCAGGTCCCACCATGTCCTGGGAGGCGGTCATCCTAGTTCCAGCCTCCTCCCTTTCCTCCCTGAGTTCTTAAACCTCTCTACTTGTCCCAGGTGCTTTCCCCGCCCCAAGGGCCAAAGCAGGGCGGTCACTATGTAAATGTCTGAGCAAATCCCCTGGTGTCAAGCTGCCAGCTCTCTTCTGATGAGGCAGGCCACCTCCGGGGACCCCCACTTCCCAGCCATGGGACCCCAGGCCAGGGTGGTCTGCTCCCTGTTCATCCGGCTGCGGGTCCTGGCTGTGCCGGCTGAGAACTCAGACTTCTACCTGCCTGGGGATTACCTCCTGGGTGGTCTCTTCTCCCTCCATGCCAACGTGAAGGGCATCGTCCACCTCAACTTCCTGCAGGTGCCCCAGTGCAAAGAGTGAGTCTCCCATGTGAGGCTGGACGTGGCGATGGGGATGGGGTGGGAAGCCTGAGCTGGTTCTGTGGTCCTTGGGGGACCAGGCCATGACCCAGGGCTCAAAATACTCCTTCTCATTCATTGCCAATCCCTCATCCTGGATCACCCCTACTGGCCCGCAGGGGGAACCCACACAGTTCACATTACCAAGATCTTCGGCAATTGAGTCCTGAAACAAGGAGAACTGGGTGTCCCAGTGTCACATCTCTTAGTAAAGACTTAGAGGATACTTGAGCCTGGGGGCGGGGGGGTTGTACAGAAAATGCAAACCACCCTCACCTACTTTGGCAAAGGAGTCTGTGTCAAGGCCCAGTCTAGAAACCAACGGGTATGCCTTTGGAAGGCAGGAATGTGGTTTTTCTGTAGCAGGTTCTCAGGCTGGAGGGGAAGGTTTGCATTTCCCTAGGACTGCAGTTAGGCAGTGGTGGTGGTGGGCGAGGGGTGTTTCCAGGACTGCAAGGGATTTCCCTCACTCAACCTTCCCCTGTGAGCCCCATGGGGTGGCGGCATCGCTCAAGATTAGGTGGGCCGCCTTCATGCAAGTGTGAGATTATGAATTAGTGACCTGGTGCAGAGAAGGCGAAGGGAATCTGAGAGAGAGGGATAAAGGAAAGAGTGTGCAAAGGATGATAAAGGGCTGACTCTAAGAAATGCACCCTGTACGTGATGGTGGGGGAGGTTATGTGCTGGTTTGAGAATGGGAGGGTGATGGTGCCAGGGATGGTACTGGGCACACTCTTGAACGTTCCGATGCCTGTGAAACTGGTGGGGAGTCCAGTGAAGTGACGGTGGTGAGGGTGGTGATGTTGATGATGTTGGTAGCAGTAATACTGGTGATAATGCAAATGGCGAAGAGTATGGTGATGATGGTGGTGAAGATGGTGGTAATGATGGTGACGAAGATGATGATGGTGGTAGTGGTGGCAACGGTGGTGATGGTGGTGAAGATGGTGGTAATGATGGTGACAAAGACGATGATGGTAATAACAGTGGGGGTGATGGTGATGAAGATGATAATAATGATGGTGGTGGTGATGGTGGTGATGTAGATGATGGTAACGGTGGTGATGATGACGGTGATGCACTTGATGATAATGATGTTGGTGAAGATGATGATGGCGATGATGGTGATGAAGATGATGGTGCTGGCAGTGATGGTGGTATTCATAGTGGTGGTCACAGACACATGGTTTTAGTGATGGCAGAGGTGATGATATTGTTCCTAGGAATAGTAGGTATGACGGTGACTCTAGTGATGACAGAGATTGTAGTGGGTAATGGTGATCACATTGGTGGGTATTGGTAGAGTGGTGGTAGAGATCATAGGGAAGGCCATAGTGGTGACAATGGTAGTGACTGATGGTAACCACAATGATCACAGTGTCAGAGGTGGTCATAGGGATGACGGTGATTCTAGAGATTTGGTATGGTATGGGGACCGTGATGTGATAAAAATGCCAGAATCTTCTGGGGTGGCTCCTTCTTGGACAGCTCCTGGGTTTTCCTATGGGAGGCAGAGGGGACAAGCCTTCTCACTCTGCACGTGCTTCCCACCCCACCCCATGTGGCCCCCACCCAGGTATGAAATGAAGGTGCTGGGCTACAACCTGCTGCAGGCCATGCGCTTTGCGGTGGAGGAGATCAACAATCAGAGCAGCCTGCTACCAGGCGTGCTGCTGGGCTACGAGATGGTGGACGTCTGCTACATCTCCAACAACATCCAGCCCGTGCTCTACTTCTTGGCTCGGGAAGATTATTCCTTGCCCATCCAGGAGGACTACAGCCACTATGTGCCCCGCGTGGTGGCCGTCATCGGCCCCGACAACTCCGAGTCCACCACAATCGTGGCCCACTTCCTCTCCCTCTTCCTCCTTCCCCAGATGAGGCCCCTGGCTCCCGGGGGAAGGAGGTGGGGAGGGCACGGAGATGTGATTGCCCAGAGGGCTCACTTCCCCCCCATAGTCATGAGGGTAGGAGGAGGCGGGAAGCAGGGCTGGGATGTCAACCCCAGCCCTGGGAATGCAGCCCGGCTGATTGGTTAAGAGCTCAGGTTGTGCACCTTGGCTCTGAGTCTTGGCTATTGTGAGGCCTTGAGCAAATCTCTTAACCCTTCTGAGTTTCAGCTTCCCCAGTTGTACAATAGGATGATAAGAGTTAAGAGTTCCATCCCAGGATTATCTGAAAGTTAAAGGATATAACCTCTGCTGGAGTCTGTGAGGCACAGCCCCTTGTCGATGATGCAATGGTCATTATGTAAAGTACTTTGCGCAAAAACGAAGACTCAGAATGTGCTATTATCCCATATGGTTGCCTAGCATAGGGTCTGCCACACAGTAGGTCCTCAAAAAAGGGCCATTCATATTGGTATTGTTACGGTGTCATTGTCCTCATGATTGAAAATGCTGCGACCAGCATTGGCCTGAAATTTTCATGCATTAAGGAACAGCTAGCATAAGAAGATAGCTCACACTAGGTAGATAGTTACAAATACTATCATTTTTGCCATCATTTTTATTATGTAAACTCCAAGGGTCTGACACGGAGTAGGTGCTTAGGAAGTGTTAGTATACTTACGTGAGGCATCTAGTTCAGGATGTAACTCATTCTTCCATTCATTTGACCAATATTTACTGAGCACCTCCTGTGTTAGGTACTGTTGTGGGGCTGGGGATACAGCAGGGGACAAAACATAAGAGCCCGTCTCCTGGGGGAGAGACAGGCCATGTCAGTAACCACATGATAAGGCTGCTGGACAGTGGGGAGGGCAGTGCACAGAAGCAAAAGGCAAGCAGGGTGAGGAAGGCTGGACAGGTCCGTGGGCAGGTAGAACGGGTAAGAGGGGAACTGCAGTTTCCAGCACGGTGGTCAGGCGGGTCTCGCTGACCACTGGACGAGGACCCGAGGGAGGTGAAGGGGCGAGGGAGCTACGTGAGTGTCTGGAAGAGCCCTCCGGGATGAGGAGACAGAGAATGGAGAGGCCGGTTGGTGCCTGGCGCGTTCACATGACCTGTGAGCAGAACTGGGACCCCGGGGAGGGTAGGAGGAGATGAGGCAGAGAGGTGAGGGCTGGGGTCCGTGAAGGAGCCCCTTGGGGGCCAGTAAGGACTCTGGCTGTCCCTGAGCGACTTTTGGAGCTGTTGAGTTTTGAGCGGAGGGGTGAGGGGACTGACACCGTGTGCTGGGTCCCTTGGCGGCCACGGTCAGCAGAGACCGCAGGGGGAAGGATGGGGGCGATGCTGTGGGGACCCAGGTGGGGCGACGGTGGCTTGGGGAGCCCCTCGCTCACGCTGGTGGTGGTTCCCTCTGGCGGATCACCTACAGCGCCATGAGTGACGAGCTGCGTGACAAGAACCGCTTCCCCTCCTTGCTGCGCACGGTGCCGGGCGCGGACCACCAGACCGAGGCCATGGTGCAGCTCATGCTTTACTTCCGCTGGAACTGGATCATCCTGCTGGTGAGCAGCGACGACTACGGCCGCTACAATGGCCAGCTGCTCAACGATCGCCTGGCCACCCGCGACATCTGCATCGCCTTCCAGGAGACGCTGCCCATGCCGCAGCCCAACCGGGAGGTGACGCAGTGGGAGCGCCAGCGCCTGGAGGCCATCGTGGACAAGAGACAGCAGAGCTCAGCACACATCGTGGTCCTGTTCTCGCCCAACCTGGCCCTGCACAACTTCTTCCGTGAGGTGCTCCGCCAGAACTTCACGGGCGCTGTGTGGATCGCTTCTGAGTCCTGGGCCATCGACCCGGTCCTGCACAACCTGACCGAGCTGTGCAACACGGGCACCTTCCTGGGCATCACCACCCAGAGCGTGCCCATCCCGGGCTTCAGCGAGTTCCGCACGCGCCCGCCCCCCCAGGCTGGGCCACCCGCACCCAACAGGACTAGCCTGGGGGCCACCTGCAAGCAGGAGTGCGACACCTGCCAGGACACCACCGCGTCCTTCAACACCATCCTCACACCGTCCGGCGAGCGCGTGGTCTACAGCGTGTACTCGGCTGTCTACGCCGTGGCCCATGCTCTACACATTGTCCTCCGCTGCACCCAGACCACCTGCTCCAAGAGGGTGGTCTACCCTTGGGAGGTGAGGCCCCGCCCATGGGTAGTCAGGGCCCCCCACCCTGGGGCAGGTATGGAGCGGTTGCCATGGAAACTGCTGGTGCCTGTGCTCCGTGCTAGCTTTCCTGTCTCTTGCTGCGTTCTGGGCAAATTGGTGGGAGAGGCCATGGGACCACGCCCTGCCTCCAGACACACACAACCGGACAGAAGTCCTTGATGGTAACAAAACTCCTTTTTTAAATTTATGTAATCATCGCCATCCAAGATGGCTCGTGCTGGGAGGAGATTTGGGTGAAATTCCCTGGAAGGAAGCCTGGGAGGCCATAGGCATCCCAGGTGTCCTGCCGTCGTCTCTCTCTCCCGCTGGGCTGGAGACCCTGGGGGTGGACTGCTGTATTCTCCCCGCTCTCCGAGGCCCTGCTTCAGGGTTATGTATCTTCTCTGGTCCCAGGTTTGTGTTGTCCGGATTCAGACTTGGAGTTTCAATTTGTGTTTTTCTGATTTGCGTGCGCGCATGCACGCGCCCGCCCCCCGCCCCCCACAAAACCAGGAAGTCTTCATGGGGCTAGAAGGTTTCCCTGAGGCTCTGTCGGAGTAGAGGGGATTTACTTCAGAGATACTCACTTCATACCTTGCTCTCCAGCATCTCTCTGCTCTAAGGGTTCCTTGGCTTTTTCATAGTTTGGCGTTCAAGCTCCTCCAAACTTTGCCTATATTCTGTCTCTATTCTCCCCTTCCTCTCTTTTTCTGGAACCCCCATCCCCAAATATCTGTTCACTTCCTTCACAGAGCAACTTAGTTAATTCTGTAAAAAATTCCCCCTTCTCTTAACCTCTTTATTTGTATCCCTCTACCCCATAATCTCAGAGCCCAGCCTTGCAACCCTAAGTGCTTGATTTTTTTAAAAAAATGCAGTTATTCTTTAAAAGGAGTTCTAGGGGCGCCTGGGTGGCTCAGCCGGTGTCTGCCTTCAGCTCAGGTCATGACCTCAGGGTCCTGGGATCGAGTTCCCATCGAGCTCCCCACTTGGGGGGAGGCCTGCTTCTCCCTCTCCCACTCCCCATGCTTATGTTCCCTCTTTCACTGTGTCTTTCTCTGTCAAATGAATAAATAAAATCTTTTTTAAAAAAAGAAATTCTAGTGCCAGCCAGCGAAATACTATATTTTATTATATGCGCTACTATGTTAATGATATACGTAATTATCACGTATCACGTGCTTTACCATTTTTTGAGCCTCAGTAGGCACCAAGGGCCTGGTATACATCGCCCTAACTCGTGGCCATCCCAGGAGGTTGGTAATCTACAAAGAGGAAGACTGAGGCAAGGAGTCAAGGTGACCCGTCGGGGATGGTTTCAGTGGTAAGCGGCAGACCACGGCTTTGAACGCTGGTAGGCCCTTTGGCCCCCGCCCCCCATGGTTTGCCCACTGCACTCTTCAGGTCTCCCAGCATGAGTGCCAAGAGCTGTGATGAAGGACCAGTCGACTTCTTTCCTCCCCTACCGGTGGAGCAGGGAGCCCAGCGCAGCCTGTGTGAATGTCACCCAGGCCTTTCACGGGCATGGACAGTGTCACCGTGGGAATTAGGAAATGATGCCCTTTGTGCGGACATATTAGACCTCAATGCTGTACAGGGAGTGTGGCTTGGTAGGAATGTGAGCTGGGCTCCAGCTTTCCCTCCACTTTGCCTTAATGGACCCTCTTGTGCCAGACCCTCCACTATGGCTGGGAGAGCCACCCTATTGATTTTTGTCCTAACACTTACCCTACATTGTTTCTCTTGTGTTTATTTACTTGTTTTCTTGTTTATTGGCTACTCCCTACCCTGCCTCCTTCCTCCCCGCACATGTAGGCCCGAGAGAGCCGGGACCTTTCACTCCTGCTCAGTGCGGTCTCCCCAGCTGCTGGCCCCGGGTCTGGCTCAGAGCTGACTCTAGGTGAATATTTACTGAAGGAACTAGTGAATGAGCACTTACTCTGTGCTAACTAACCCCTTTATGTCAGTTGCCGTCTATCCCCAGACACGCTGTGAGTAGACACAGTGAGTCGATGATGGCTCTCCCACAGATAGGTTCAAAGAAGTGATGATCACCTCGCTAGGGAGCCACGGGGTGGGTGGGGTGGAGGGTGGGGGTGGCAATGCGCAAGGGTGGGACGGGGGCGGGGGCGGGGGGGGGGGGGGGGGGGGGGGCGCCCCGGGGGGGGGGTGGGGGGGGGGATGAGGCAGAGGGAGAGGCCTTGGGTGATGGGGAGACTTGGGGATGGAGCTGGGGGGACGCACTGCCTGTGGCGTTGGGGAGCGGGGGTGTGCTCAGGGCAGGCTGGGGAAATCCTGGCTGGTGAATGGGGGGGGCTTTGGCAGTCCCAGGGAAAACGTTCAGAAGTTTATGGAATCGCAGAGGGTAGGACTTGCACGTACTTCTTAGACTTTTCAGGTCTAAATCATTTTGTTTTATAAAAAGCCCGCCTGCCTGCCTGTCACCTTCCTTCCCTCCGATCCTCCCTCCCTTCCTTCCTTTTAAAAAGATTTTATTTATTTATTTGTTGGGGAGAGAGGGAGAGAGAGAGCAGAAGCAGGGGGAGAGGCAGGCAGGAGAAGCATCAGCAAGGAGCCTGATTCAAGACTCCATCCCAGGACCCTGGGGTCATGAGCTGAGCCCAAGGCAGATGCTTAACCAACTGAGCCACCCAGACATCCCAGCGATGATCCTTTGCGACCCCTTACCTTAGAGCCCTGGAATCCCAGGTTGATCAGCCAGGCCTGGCCAGGTCAGTGTGGGGATATGACCTGGACACCAGAACCTTGGGCCTCCATCATTCTGACTCCGGTCCAAAGAGTCAGGACCACTTGGGAGGAGCCTCCCTCCTCTCTACTCCCAAAACCATTGCCCTCAGTCCTAGCAACATGAGCAAATTCCAGAGAAGCTTCCAGAGCCAGGACCTCACTCCCCATGCAGGGTGGGGAGAAGGCTAGGGCCTCGAAGTCCTTGGCTATCTGTCTGTTGGTCCCAGAGGGGAGGTGAGCTCCGGACCTCTGAGATGTAGCCCAATAGACTCTCTTATTTATGGAGGGAAGATCTAGGAGCCAGACTGATGGAGTATCTAAGCTGGAAGTTCTTTTGGGGTCAGCCCAGAGAGGTTCAGTGACCTGCCCAAAGTCACAGAGCAAATTGAGGAAAGAGCTCAGATTGGAATTCAGGCCCCGGGATGCCCAATTCAAAGCATGTTTCAGTTTGTACCAGCTTCTGCCTACTCAGAGTGATGGGGGACGGTATGGAGAGAGATTGGAGAGTGGCCTCAAATGGTGGGGGAGGCAGGAAGCACCCAGGGGACAGGGACAGGTGCTGCCGACCCTTGTGCGTAAGAGAAGCAGCAGGCTCTGGGGCCCAGATATTGGGTCCCCGAGGGTTGGCCGAGGTGACTTCCAGGGAGAAGGGATATTATCAACACCTGGGCTGGAGGTGAGTATTTACTAGTTTTTTGTTTGTTTGTTTTTAAGATTTTATTTATTTATTTGACAGACAGAGAGATCACAAGTAGGCAGAGAGGCAGGCAGAGAGAGAGGGGTGAAGCAGGCTCCCTGCTGAGCGGAGAGCCCGATTCGGGGCTTGGTCCCAGGACCCCGAGATCATGACCTGAGCTGAAGGCAGAGGCTTAACCTACTGAGCCACCCAGGCGCCCCTAGTATTTACTAGTTTTCAGGCACTGTGCTAAGTTCCCAACACAGGTAAACTCACTGATGGCTTCAGAGCCCAGGAGACATGGTTTGTGTTGTCCTACTGTGCTGAAGAGGAAACTGGGGCTCATGAAGGTTAAGCGGCAGGTCCAAGGCCTCAAGCAGGTGGCAGAGCTGGTGTCTAAACCCTGAGATATCTGAGACTAGAGCCAGCACTCTCAGCCACTGCCCCCCATGGCCACCTGCACAGTCCTATAGCCCCCTTGTGCAGCTGTGGAAATCAAGGTTAGGGGGGTGGGAGAACTTTCCCCAGGTCTGGCCCGGGCTCTGATGCCAGCCTCCCTTCATTTCCCTTCGGCCCCTTTAGCTACTTCAGGAAATCTGGAAGGTCAACTTCACCCTCCTGGGCCACGAAATCTTTTTTGACAAGCAAGGGGACCTGCTCATGAGCCTGGAGGTCATCCAATGGCAATGGGACCTGAACCAGAACCCGTTCCTGAGCATTGCCTCCTACTACCCTGCGCTGCGGCAGCTGAAGATGGGCCACAACGTGTCCTGGCACACCGCCAACAACACGGTCAGCTCTTGGACGGCTGTGGGGGTGCCGAGGCCTGGGGCTGGGTGCCGGCTCGGGCTGGGGTGGCCGGGGCCCTTTGGACCGGAGATCTGTTATCAATAGCCGGTGGGGGCTCTATATGTGTGAGGAGTGTCTGGGCCTCGCTCCTCCCAGTGACCAAGCACTGGGGACATCTAGGGCTTTCTGGCTTCTCTGGACCCAGGGGCTCAGGAGCTGTGCCAAGTGAACGTTTGCTGGCCACGCGTGTACTAAGGATGTCAATTCTCGTATCAACCAATGCTCACGCTTTTGGTGCGGTCGCCGGACCCTCCGCTGTGCCTGCCATCTGTCATTTGAAAGCTCCTTTGTTTTACCCTCTTAGACAAGCTGTCAGGATGGCAGTGGTGTGGGGAGGGACGGAGACTGGGTCTCCGGGGGGAGGGCATCTAAAAGCTTGAGGGGCCTTCATCGGCATCCTCCCCACCCCCACACTGTTTCTGCGATGTTGGGTGCTGCTGGTTCCTGCACTTGTGCGGATTTTGATGCAGTCAGTTGGGTTGGTGTCTCCATTAATTTATGAGTCTGCAGTCCCAAGAGAACACAGTTGGGGGGCGGGGGGCGGGGGGCGGGGCTGAAACAACGGAGATGTACTCTCTCCCATTTCTGGGGGCTGGCAGCTCAGCTCAAGGTGTCAGGAAAGTTGGTTTCTTCTAGGGCGTGAGGAAGAATGTTCTGGGCCTCTCTCTCCCACCTCCTAGTGGTTGGTTGGCCATTGCCAGCTTTCCTTGGCTGGGGTTGTCTCCCCCGACCTCTGCCATCTGGCCTTCTCCTTGTGGGTCTGTCTGTCTCCCAATGTCCCTTTTTATAAAGACTTTGGTTGTTTTGGAGTAGGGGCCCACCCGACTCTGCTAGGACCTCATCTTGACTAATTATATCTGCAATGATCTTATTTCCAAATAAGGTCACATTTGAATTTTGAGGGGAGGCAATTCAACAAATAACAGTGTCTTCGCCTGGGTTTCTCCTGGAAAGCAGAGCCTGGGGCAAGGGTTTATGCACAGACAGTTTGCTCCAAGATATACTCCGGGAACAGGAGTAGGTGATGGGGGAGAGTTCATTAGGGACACAGGGAACATCAGTAGAAGAGAATATTCTCAGGCTGTGCTGTGAGCTGAGTCTTACAAGGACCTTCTGAACCACCACTTTAGAATTGTCTCTAAGAGAGGGAAGAGGATGGGATGGATCCATGGGTCTGTACCACCCCACCCCCATCTGCCGTGGTCAAGGGTCACCCCATGGGGCGTTAACTCCCTTGTGCTTCTGAGTCACACATGCATGAGTGCCCAGCAGTTTCCCATGAGCATCTCACACCCTGGCCCCAGGGCAGAGAGCGAAAGAGTCTGAGTGCTGCTTAGGTGAGATGCCGACAGGCAGCTCCCACACGATGCTGTTGCTGTGGCTGTGGCAGGACTAAAAGGAGGTTTGAGAAGACATGAGGGAGGCCACAGGGACGTCTGCTCCTTGCTGTGCTCACTGTGATGCTGTCCTTCCCCCAGCCCGGTGGGAGGGCAGCAGCCAGCCCAGTCCCTCCAGTGGGAACTGAGCGGATCCCCCACAGCCCCTGCTTGCTGCAGCAGTGTCCCAGGTGGAGGCCCTACTTCTTGTGTCTCCCTCTGTCACCCATCCTGGAGTCCTTCACCCTCAGCCACTTGGCTGCTGGGGTGATCCAGACACTGGTCCCTAGGTGTCTGAGCTCGTGGTAGCCTTGAGCTTGCTGGACTGTCGATGTGGCAGATGTGCAGCAGCTGTGAGGACTGGGCCACCACGGCCAATCTCCCGGATTCCAGACCGAGTCCCTCCTGCCTCCTTGAGGTCCAGCCACCTAGCTGCTCACGCTCATTGAAGTCGGTTACCTCTTCCTTTCTCGGCCGTCTTGCTCACTGGCATCAGGCCCCTGAAATGACCGAGGAGGGATCAGACAGCCTCCTTTGTCTGCTGGTGGAAACAGTCCCTCTTTGGAGACCAGAACCTGTGTTCTAGCAGAGTCCAGGCTTCTGGGGATGAGACTCACCAGCCCCACAGGGAGCCCCTGAGAACCATGGTGAGTGTGGCCAATCCTTATGCCCCATGGTTGCTGGACCTCTGTATTCTAGCTGTTGGGGCCACAGTGCTACATACCAGCCTCCCACTCAGTGCTTATTTGTCATCCTAAAGGGCAGCGGCCCTACCCTCAAGGGGTTGTCCCCGAGTTGGACCTCACCTGAACCCTTAGTGCACCATCCCATCATCTCGTTAGGCTGGGTACTTCTGGGTGACGTGGTGTATGTTGTGATCAGTGGATCCAGGGGTCACATGCCCACGTCACACCCCCTTTGCCATACAAGGGGTCTCTTTCTGAGGTGAGGTTCTGAGGGGACCCAGGATGGTGACCTATTTGGTCTGTCCAGCCTTGGATCACGGTACTGTCCTGTGGATTGGGGAGGTGAGTTCTTGCATGGACGCATCAGAGCTCCCTCCAGGGAAGAAGACACCCAACATGGTAGATGTGCCAGGGTCTGCGTAGATTGGAAGCAATCCAGAGCCCAGCATGGGCTTTGGGCTGGAGGTTAGGTGCTCAGCCGTGGCCGTATCTACGCCGACCATGGAGAGAGGGGTCCACATTGAGGAGCTCATGCCACAGCCTCCATCCCCAACATCATGAGTATTCTGTTCATGGCCCATTATGCGAGCCCCGGGGGGCCAAGGGCAGAGGCCAGCTGACCTGTGCTGGAGGTCCATCCTTTCCATCTGGTTTTTGTCACTCCCTATGTTCTTGGATTGGCATTCACACGAGACACAAAGGTCGTTATCACAGATTTGAGGAACAAACATACTTGTTCCCCCTGGGCTTGCTTTGGCCTGATCCCAAGTGCTTTTTGTTGCATGTGGACTTGTCCCTCTTCCTGCCCAACCCCATGACTCCGTGTATTTGAGGGTCCCCTGAGGTCCTGAGGCCACGTGCTCATTTTCCAAGGAGGCCCAGCAGGCTACAGGAGCTGATTTGCAGGCCATATGATGCCCTGTTTCGGAAGGCACGTTGTAGCATGTTGTAGCCGCATTGCGCAACATTCTTTCTGGGGCTGCCCAGCTTGTCCCCTGCAGGTGGCGCTGGCGTCAGCACATCTGCCTGGCCATCGGGCCTGAGTGGCAAGGGGAGCTCGTCCTGCAGCCAGGCCCTCCTTCAGAGGCTCTTTCTAGGCTTGTCATTCTTCACCTTGAAACCAGAAGCCTTCTGAGACGCGGCTAAGTGTGGGTTGGACCAGAATTTCCAAGAGCAATTTATGCTGTCCCCCATGTCTGGAGGTTCCTCAAGTGCCCCACTTCTTTAATGGTAGGAGATGTGAGATGTAATGACTCACCCTTTAACATAGAGAGGATGTCCTGGAATTTCGCAGACCACAGGACTCCTAAAAGCATCACCGGTGTAGCAGGCCCCCTTTGAATCTTTGAAGGGTTTGTCATATACCTTTATCCTGAAGGATTCACATCCTAGAGGGGCATAAAGGACACTTGCTACTTCGTACTCATGAGATCCAATGAGTACGATGCTGTTGGCATGATGTTCTGCAGAAAGCCAGAGTGATCGAGTTCCATGTAGACCAAACTTTGACAGAGAGAAGCATACATAAACTTAGCTCTGCTGTGAGGTAGTAAACGCTAGTGATCTGAGACCTTTCTTTTGCTTTCAGTAGGCATTTAGAGCTCTATCTATCCCTCTAAGTGCTATGTTCACTGTGTTCTATTAGCTTTGGCATATATATATATATATTTTTTTTTTAAGATTTTATTTATTTATTTGACAGACAGAGATCACAAGTAGGCAGAGAGGCAGGCAGAGAGAGGTGGGGGGGGGGAGCAGGCTCTCTGCTGAGCAGAGAGCCCCATGTGGGGCTCGATCCCAGGACCCTGGGATCATGACCTGAGCCGAAGACAGAGGCTTGAACCCACTGAGCCCCCCAGGCACCCCTTCGCTTTGGCATATATTAATTTAAAAGAATTTAAATTATGGTAAAAAAAAAAACCCTATAACATAACATTCACCTTCTTGTCTAGTTTTTTCCAAAGTTTTTTTTTTTTTATTCCAGCAAGATATACATAAATAGTTTACATCTTCACCGTCTTGAAGGACACAGTTTGGTGGTATTGGGTACATTCACATTCTTGTGCTAGGACCACCAGCCTTTACCTCCAGACCTCGTCATTTACAGAATGAACACTTTATACCTGTTGAACACCAAGCCCCCATTCCCGCCTCTCCCCAGCCCTGGAAACCACCTGTCTGCTTTGCGTTTCTGTGAATTTGACTAAGAACCTCCTGTAAATGGAATCACATGGTATTTGTCTTTTTGTGACCTGCTTATGTCACTCAGCGTCATGTGCTCAAGGTTCATCCATTTTGTAGTGTGTGTCAGAATTCCCTTCCTTTTTAGACCAAATAATCCATTCAATCAATGGATTATGATTATATGATTATGAATAATCACAATCCAATAAAAAATACCACATTTTGCTTCTCCGTTCATCCATCAATGGGCACACTCGGGGTGCTCCTACCTTTAAGCTATTGTGAATACTGCCGCTGTCAGCATGAGTGTGCAAATATCTCTTTGAGACCCTGCTTTCAATTCTTTTGAGTATGACCCGGAAGTGGAAACTGGATCATGTGTTAATTCTCTTCTTAATTCTTGAGGGGCTGCCATATTGTTTTCCACAATGGCCGCACCATTTCACATTCCCAGCCGTGGACAAGAGGTTCTGGTTCCTCCACATCCTCGCCAAGACGCTTGTGTTCTGGTTTTTTTTGTTTGTTTGTTTTGTTTTCTTTTGTTTTTTTGCTTTTTCCAAAGTAGCCATCCTAATGGGTGTGAGGCATCTCTCACTGTGGTTTTGATTTGCATTTCTCTACTGGTTAACAACTGAGCATCTTTTCAAGTGCTCATTCGTCATTTCTATCTCTTCTTTGGCGGGATTTCTATTCAAGTTCTTTGTCCATTTTTTAATTGAGATATTACGTTCTAGGAGTTGTCTCCATATTCTGGATATTAATCCCTTGTCAAACATATGATTTACAAGTGTCTCCCATTCTGTGGGTTGCCTTTTTATTCTCTCGGTAGTGTCATTTGATGGACAGAAGTTTTAAATTTTCACGAAATCCTATCCAGGACATCATTGCCAGATCCAGCTTCATGAAACTTGTTCCCTATGTTTTCTTCTCACTGTTTCTGTGGTGTTACGTCTACCACCGAAGTCACGGATCCATTTTGAGGTAATCATATACGGTGTTCGGTCCAACTTTATTCTTTCGTACGTGGATATCCAGTTTTCCCAGCATCGTTCATTGGAAAAACGATCTTTCCCCCACTGAATGGTCTTAGAACTCCTGTCAAAAATCGCTTGACCCTATGGGTGAGGGTTTGTGTCAGGACTCTGTTCTATTTTATCGGTCTGTATGTTTGTCCTTATGTCCACACCACACTGCTTTGATTACTATAGTATCGTAGTAGGTGTTGAAATCAGGAAACGTGAGTCCTCTAGCTTTGTTCTTTCTCAGGAAGTGCTTTGGGTCTTCAGGGTCCCTTGAGATCCCATCTGAATTTCGGGATGGGTTTTTCTATTCCTGCAAAAATAGAGAAATAAATAAATAAATAAATAAAGTCACTGGGGTTCTGACAGGGAGCGCGTTCAATCTGCAGATTGCTTTCGGTGGTATTGACATGTTCACCGTGTTAAGTCTTCCAAGGCATAAACATGGAATGTCTTCCCATTTACTTGGGTCTTCATCTCTTTCAGAAGTGTTTTGACCCCTTCTCCTCTGTTCTGCAGCTGCCTATTTAGCTAGAACCGCCAACGTTTCTCTCCCGGGCTATTGGGATGGTATCCTACCTGCGCCCTCGCTTCCGCTCTCGTCCCTCACAGTTTAAGGTCAACATGGAACCCAGGACAGTCCTGTGGAAAGGAAGTCGGGTCCTGCCTCTCCTCTGCGTGGAATCCTATCATAGTTTCTCACTTCACTCAGAGTAAAAGCCCGAGTATTGATGACACCTCTTTGAATAGATCTGTCCTGTCCTTCGTGTTCATTGTACTCAACTTCCGTGGGGCTTCCTGCTCAGCGACCATGCCATGTGCCCCCTGCCACGGGGCCTTTGCATATGCTGTTCCCTTGGCCTGCACAGACCTCTTCGTGGGTTGGTCCCTCACAGCCTTTGGGTTTCTGCTTCAGGGTCAGCTGCTCAGTGAGGCCAGCCCTGCCCTCACCCTTCATATGTGCACTCAACCCCTCTATCACTTTCCATCCCCACTGCACGGCTCTACTTGCCTGCCCGGTATTGATCACCAGCTGTCAAGTTACGCATTTCTATGTATATGGTGTCTTTTCTGCATGAAAGTATTCATTCCTTAAGAACAGAGACTTGACCTCACCGGGTTCACTGCTGTATTCCCAACGCCTGGCATAGGTATGAGCTCAGTACCTTTTTGAATGAATGAATGAATGAATGAGCGAATGGCAGGTTGAGAGTTCACAAGTGAGAGTAGGATGAAGTTGGTCACTTAGGGAATAGTGAAGAGATGGGTTTGGAAGGTGGTGGTGGGGACCAATAATGGTGAGGGGGGTGGTAAGCCATAGTTCTGGATAAGGCACGCATGTGTGTTGGGGTGCACGTGTGTGGTCCCGCGGGTGGCAGAGAAGACTGCTGACCGCCTGGAGAGGCTGGCAGGGGATCAGATGTTTCATTTTGGCTGATGGAGAGCCCCTGAGGTTCTTCCAGGGAGGAGCTTCAGGCAGGAGAACAAGACGTCTGGAGGTGTCATCTGATGGCCATGAGCAGGAGGGACAACAAGGGAGGAGCAGGAAGGCAGGTGACCTGTCAGAGGCAAGAAGGGAGGGGCTCTGGGGCCAAGTGGTCCTACTGTGGCTCCCCTTGTCTGGGCCCTGGCCCTTCACATGCATGTTCTTGTAACACCCTCTTATTTGTGCATCAGAATGATTTTTGTCCCACCTGGATCTAAACAGGCTGCCCCCCTCCAAGAGCCATCGTTGCTTCCCACCTCCCCTTCATTCTTAGTGTGTCCCACACGAGACTTCAAGATATGGCTCTCCCACCCTCCACCCTTCTCCTGGGACCTCCTGACTCCCTTCTATTCCCCTGTCCTTACTGTCCCCTCTGCTTGTAATTCATTCCTGTGTTCCATAAACCATCAGTGGGGGCGCCTCTGTTCTCTAGAAGTAGGGAACATTTCTGTTCTCTGTTCATCTGAAAACCCTGCCCCTCCACAAAGGCCGTGTTCACGCTACTCTTGGACGCACATGGCAGAAGCTGATGGAAGCAGGGAGTGAAGCTGTTGCGTCCCATCATTGAACACTCCAGGGGTAGACCGTGTGGATTTCAGGCACGGCTGGATTCAGGGTCTCTCTCCAGATCTCAGTTCCTTCCTTGGGAGTGCTCCCCCTCCGTGGAGATAGGCGGCTGTCAGCAGCCATAGAGTCACATCCTATCTGCTCGGCAACCTCAGGAAGTCTCCATCTCAACAGTGGGGTGCTATTAGAAGGCGGCTTAGGCATCAGGCAGGCCAAACCAAGAGGGTCCCTGCAAAGGTCCGGTTCTAATAGCAGTTCCTCCTCCTTCCCCATCCCAGAAAGGACCTAGGCTTCCCTTCCTTCAGCATCCTGCTAGTTGGGCTCAGGATCTCTTGTCCTCTTCCCTCCAGATCCCAGTGTCCATGTGTTCCAAGGACTGCCAGTCTGGGCAAAGGAAGAAGCCCATAGGCATCCATCCCTGCTGCTTCGAGTGTCTTGACTGCCTTCCTGGCACCTTCCTCAACCGAACTGCAGGTAGGACTTGCAGACCCGCACCCCTGCCCCACCCTGTCCTGCCCTGCCCTGGGCTCTCAGGGCCTTTTATCTTTGGCAGGGTTTCTGGAGTCTCCCCCAGGGACCGCGTCTGATTCCAGGGTATCTCCTTACGAGCTGGCGTAGAGAAAAAGCCTCAGTGCACACTGTTAGGGAGGGTGGGAGAAGGAACAGCCCACCACCAGGCAAGGCTGTCACTGATCCCCACTCCACACACATGTAGCCAACCGAGGGCCCGGGGTGTCAGACCAGAGAATGTCCACCAGATGGATGAATGAATGAATGAATGAATGTCTCTGTACATAGAAGAAATGTTTCCGGCAGGTGGGGATAGGATCTGATTTATCTCTCTGACCTCCCTGTGCCTAGCGTAGTTCAGAGCATATAATGTGGGCTCAGTGAATATTTATTAAGTGACATCCTCAATTAAACAAATTAATAGCTCCCCCTATAGACCATAAAGTCCAGGAAGGTGGGGACAATGTCTTCTCTCTGTCTGTGGAGCACGGTTCACAGTTGGGGCTCCAATTACTTTGTTCATGACTTCCCTGATTAGTAAATTGAGTGGATATAGACATCGACCAGGGGACTTATCATGTACCTAGTGAACCCAGGGCACAGAGTAGGTGCTCAACCAAAGTTTGCTGGATGATTTCACAGGCTTTTCCAACTCCTAGTTGACCAGTAGCCTGAAGACAGGAGGCTAGGTTTTACCCACGTCTGTGGCCTCCTACCTCAGGCGCTCATCACCATGGAGGGTGCTCGAGAAAGCATTAGTTGAATGAATTCTTTCCCCAAGTGCAAATGTCTATCCCACCATAGGGTAAGGTCCTGGAAGGAAGGAATTGCAATTGTTAGGATCAGAATGTAGGGAACCTCGGTTCAAATCTTGCCTCTGTAACTTACCGGCTGTGACTTACTGTAACTTACAGCTTTTGTGGCTGCGTGGATGAGCCTCAGGTTCCTCATCTGTGGAATGGGCTTGCAGTGAGGAGTGGATGGGCTAGTGGATATAAGGGACGCAGAGAGGGGTGGTTAGGACTGTAGACATTGCCCTTTGCTTGCCCACCCCCCAGCCCCCATCCCTGAGGCCTGGCCTGGTGCAGGTGCAGAGGACATGGCTGTCAGCAAGGTGGGTGTGGCTGAAAGAAGCTTCCCTGGGCTTTTGCAGATGAATATGACTGCCAGTCCTGCCCAAGGTACGAGTGGTCCCATAGGAATGACACGTCCTACTTCAAGCGGCGGCTGGCCTTCCTCGAATGGCATGAGGCCTCCACCATCATCGTGGCCATGCTGTCCTTCCTGGGCTTCCTCAGCACCCTGGCCATCGTGGTGGTCTTCTGGAGACACCTGCACACGCCCATGGTTCGCTCCGCCGGGGGCCCCATGTGCTTCCTGATGCTGGTGCCACTGCTGCTGGCCTACGCCATGGTCCCCACGTACGTAGGGCAGCCCACGTTCTTCACGTGCCTCTGCCGCCAGACCTTCTTCACCCTCTGCTTCACCATCTGCATCTCCTGCATCACCGTGCGCTCATTCCAGATCGTCTGCATTTTCAAGATGGCCCGGCGCCTCCCGCGCGCCTATGGCTACTGGTTGCGCTACCACGGGCCCTATGTCTTCGTGGCGTCCTTCACGGCGCTCAAGGTGGTCATCATGGTGGGCAACGTGCTGGCCATGAGCGCCAGCCCTACCGCCCGCCCCGACCCTGATGACCCCAAGATCAGGGTTCTGTCCTGCAACTACCGCAAGGCGCTGCCGTTCAGCACCAGCCTGGACCTGCTCCTGTCCGTGGCCGGCTTCAGCTTCGCCTACATGGGCAAGGAGCTGCCCTCCAACTACAACGAGGCCAAGTTCATCACTTTCTGCATGACCTTCTACTTCACCTCCTCCATCTCCCTCTGCACCTTCATGTCTGTCTACGAGGGGGTCTTGGTCACCATCCTGGACCCCTTGTTCACCGTGCTCAACCTTCTGGGCATCAGCTTGGGCTACTTTGGTCCCAAAAGCTACATGGTCCTCTTCTACCCGGAGCGCAACACACAAGTCTATTTCAGCAGCATGATTCAGGGCTACACCATGGGGAAGGACTAGTTCCAACTGTGGGCTGCCCAGGAGGCCTGAGGCCTCAGTCCCGGGAGATGGAGCCTGTGGGTGGGGGCCTTGCTTATTCAACCCCAGCTGGGCACAGGGACACCGTCTCTAACAGTCACCTCTTCACCCTGCTTTGATTTGACCTCCTCCCCCCAGGTTCTCTGCATCCTGGCCACGTTTACCCGCTTTCCCTATAGCTCTTCCCCATTCTAGGAAAACCACCCAGGGTGACCTGTTGGTCGCCAAGGCAGAGAGGGATTTAGGCAGCTGACAGTCGCCATCTGGTGGTCACAGTTGGCATCTGCCTGTTCGGGCTCCTTCCCCTCAGTCCTGTTCGCATAGTGAGGGAAGGACACACTGGAGGGCTGGGCTGAGGCTGGTGTGGAGGGATGTCTTCCCCCATATGGAGCGGGGGGCAGTCACTAGCTGCCCACATGTCTGTGCCTCACCCCCCAGACTCCCTCAGAGCTCGGGACCCAGCTTCTCTGAGTAACGGCTGGACATTGGGGCTGCTTCCTAAATGTGTGGGAATAAAACGCATTTGGGTAAAGTGAATGAGTTTCCCTCTCGTTTCCAGAGGTCCTCCAAGGAAGAAGATTTCCTTCAGTTTCTATCCCAGCATTCCTGCTTCCAAGCTGTGTCCTTTGGGCCCATTATTTATTCTTTCCTCCACTTCCCTGTCTCTATCATAGGGACAATAGTTGCTTCGTGGGGACATTGAAGAATCAGAGAGAAGGGGCGTGGGGTGCATACAGTAGGTACTCAATAAATGCCAACGACTGCAAATCCACATGTCTCTTGAACCATTAGGGTCAAAAGAAGGCTGTGTTTCCTTTTTACACCCAGATGTCCATGGAACACACTCTAGTCTATGGTACCAGCCTCTGTTGGAAACTAGCTTGGCCCCCAGAGAATTCTGGGTGTTGTCTGGCGGGTGCTTGGGTCTCACATGTGCTCCGGAGCCAGGGTGGGCCATGGCACTGGCATCTCGGCACTTCCGAAGCTTGGAGAAGGTGCCGTTCTGGGTGTGGCTGTGCCTATGCCCATCACCCTCGACGGCAGGAAGAGACCCGACTTTTCTGCCTCCCAGGCTCCCCAGGGAGCCAGAATGTCAGGGCTGAGGCTTCTAAGATGCTGCTCAGAGAGGCTGAGTGACCGGCTCAGGGGCAGCCAGCCAGAAGCTGGGAGCCAGAGTGTCAGAGCTTCAGGCTTCCTGAAGACTCGGTGACTGGGGTGACTTTGTGACTGTCTCAGAACTCCCCCGGGTGCAGTTTCTGGACTGACCCCACACCATCCCTGGCAGAAGCAACTTCTGGAAGCTCATTTGCAGCCGGGAGGGCAGGACCATCTGCTTCTTGTCCTGAATTTACCTCTCTCATGCTTCAAGGAGGTGGGTGGTGGGATCCTGGTTTGAACCCCCTGGAGTTTGGGGGAACCGCCTTCACGTTGTGGGGCTGCTTCTCCATCACGGTGGGGACAGTCCCCGTTTTTCTCGCCAGAGCTGGCCCGTAGCAGGGGCTCCATGAATATTGACGGAGCAGCTAAATCACTCCTCTCCCTGCCCTTCTCCTCCTCCACCGCTCCCTCCAGCCACGGCATCGTAAATTCCATGTGTCTCTCGTGGCCTCGGGTGCCAGACCCTGAGCGGCTCTGAGAAATACAGAACAAACACTCGTGCTCATCATCGATGAGGACAGCAGTGAACGTCAATTACCCTTCCTGCGGGCTTTGCTATATAATTCTCTTTCCTCACCAAACTCCATCCGTCCCGTATTGTTAGAGTCCTTGTTTTAGAGATGGGGAGAGAAGGGCCCTCCAAGAGGTCACGTAACTTCCCCAGCCCCTCACAGCCCGTCCCTGGAGCCATGAACTTCTGCGGAGTAAGACCCAGACACCCTGCTTGAGGAGTTGGTGCAGGGGAGGGGGGCTGTAATCACATTTGGGGGGGACGCAGTCTCTCCACCAGGCGTTATGGTGTGCAGGGGAGCCTCTGATTTTAGGGAGACGGCTGGTGGATGCGGTGCCCGGGGAAGACCCAGGGGGAAGCTGGCATCTGGAAAGAGCAGTGAAGGGCAGAGAAGTGCCCGGAAGGCAGGGAGTCTGAGTGTGGGGAAAGCTCGTGGAGACAGCGGGGGCAAAAGTGGGGTGCCAGGAGGCTGAGGTGCCAGGAGGCTGGGGGCTGAGGGTGGCCAGTGTGAGAACCAGGCTAGGAAAGCTAGCTGTGGCTAGATGTTGGGGACCCTGACTGGGCATCCGACCTTGTCTTCCTGGTGCCCACCGCCAGCGTCCGTGCACACAGGATGATGTCCTGGGTCCCCCGAGAGGCTGTTCCTGGCTGTCCCTCACCTCTGTCCTCTTCCCACTGTCCTGAGCTCTGGCCTGGCTCCCCGGCTAGAGACTGCGGGGAAGCCCCCCAGGATGGGCCGTGGTGTGTGCCCATCCCTCCTCCGTCCCCTGCTCCTGGGTCCCAAGAGGAGACCTCACCCAGCCCCAAGCTTGCAGCGAGCCGCTCTGCCGTCTGCTCCTGGATGTGTCTGTGTCCCGTCCCCCTCGCCCTCGGGACCAGATTGTCAGGCTCAGGGACTTTTAAGCTCTTAATTCTCTTTTCTTACGTGCTTCTGATGCCTTGGCTTAAATTTTTTTTTTTTAAGAGATAATGACCTCCTTTTCCTGGTTCTGCCTTGCGGACCGCCCTTAGAGAGAGAATCCTGGAATCCCGCCGACCTCAGAGAACTGCTCCACGCCTCGTTCTACAGCTGCCCTGAGCTGAGCTCCTCATCCTCCTTGTTCCCCTCCAGTGATGGGAGGCTCACAGAGGACAACGACAGCTGCTTGAAATTTTTGTTAGATTGAATCAAACCCATCTCTTTGGGATTTCTATTTATGGACCTTAGATTCATCTTTGGGGACCACAAATTCAATCTCATTCCTCTTTCCCATGATGGTCTTTTGTACGTAGTGGCAACAAGAATGATTGCCTCTCGAGGGTTGCAGACCCTGTGACAGGTGCCTCACACCGCGAGCTCTATTCCCCGAGATGCCCCTGCCCGATGGGTACCTGGGACCATCCGTGGCCACATGCTGATGCGTCCTCCTCTCTCCCATCCTACATGACCTCCCCTGTCCTCCCAAAAGAGATCCACATTATTCTGGGGAAGCTGACTCTGTCCTGGCTCCTGGGAGTAGAGCGGACGACCCAGGCAGGGGGTGGCTCTAATCAGAGGGAGTCTCGGGACTTCTGGGACGGGGAATCTTTCTGTAGGAACTAGTGAGGCTGAGACACAGCAGCTCCTGTGGGACCACAGGGCAAGTCAGCCGTGGAGGGGAGCTGGACTCGGCAGAAGGTAAAGTGGGAGGGTGGAAAAGCTGGGTCCTTGGAAGCTTTGGAGCTGACGGATCCTGCCTGAAGCCAGCAATCCCGCTGAAGTCTTCCTGGGTCCCTTCCCGTGCATGACTGCCTCTGGTAGTTGGAGTTGGGTCTTCTGTCCCTGGCAGCCCAACACATCTTTACCCTGCTGAGGAGGAAACAAGCTCAGAGAGGCTGTTGCCCTTGCTCAGGGTCACCCAGCTTGTAAGTCGGGGAGCTGGGAATTGGAGAGTTGGGGGGTATGGTTTTGTGTTCTCAGATCATCTCTTTTAGGCCTAAAGGTCATCAGTTGCTCTTAGGACCCGATTTTGGGCGCCGTCCAAGTCCTCTCCTTGGGGCACACTCTGACCTATAAACCTCCCTCGAGCTTCCCGCTCCTGGGCCCCTGACCCTCTCCCCACACCAGGCCAGCAGAGCAATGTCCCCTTAACCCCGCCCGGCCACAGGCTCTCCCAGCTCTGACCCCTTCCGTGGCTCCCTAGTGCCTACACTCCCCTGGGCTTCCTTCGAGTGCTGCTCAGGTGGTACAAAACCGGGCTCCTGCTGGCCTCTCCAGCCTCACCGCCCAGGGGCTCAGGTGGGCACCTGACTCTTCCTCCCAGTGGCTCCTGCCTGGCTTCACCCCTGTGCTCAAGCTGTCCCTTCTCGTTTCTCTCTGTCGGCTTCTCACGCGGGTCCCTCAATGCCCAGTTTCAGTGTTTCCTCCCCAAGGAAGTGTTGCCTGTCTTGGGGCAGAGGAAATCCTCGGTGCTCCTGGAACTGCTTGAGTTTAACTCCTGTTTGTCCTGCTGATGTGCCTTTCTGGTCTGGGGCCACCTGAGTCAGGGGCAGGCTGTGCTCTGTGTGGCCTTTGTCTCACATGTCATGTCCCCTCCAATGCATTTGCTGCTCGAGGCACCGGGCACTTGGTGGCCTGGGTGTTTGCAGGGCTGGCACCGAGCTGGTGGGAGCTGGTAGGAGCTGGTAGGAGCTGATGGCAGCTGGCTACGGTCTGGGGCCCAGTGCCCGGGCCAGGCTACCTGTGCTTTCCCCTGGTGGCTGGACTGTAGGGAGAATGGAGAGGGTGACCAAGGGAAGGCAGAAAGCTGGAGGTGGGCCTCCCAGGCAAAGACAGGTCTGTAGCAGACTTGATAGCCTCTCCACTGCTCCTACCAGAAACTTCAGTCACGTCTGACTCCTCTCGCTCATCCTGTGTCCTGCCTGTCAGCAACATGGTTGGCACTATCTTCAGAAGAGACCCCAATCCCGGGGTAAGCCTGGCTTCCAGCAACAGCCTCCTGGCTGCTCTCCCTGCTTCTGCCCTGGCCCCCACAATATGTAGGCTGTTCCTTTGACAACCTAAGTCACTTCTTATCCCTCTTCTGCCCAGTGCCCAGGCTCCCCATCTGTGTCAGATGAAGATCTGTGGTCCTTGTGCTGGCATCAGACCCACGGAGCTCCCTGCCACCTCTCCCACTTTGCTGTGGACAAACCCCCTCCACACACACACCTCTGCAGCCATGGTGGCTTCCTCACCATCCCCAAATGTGCCACTTATATGCCCCAGGACCTTGGCACTGGCTATTACCTCTTCTTGAAATGCTCTTCTTCAGATTGTCACATGGCTGGGTCCTCCTGCTTAGCCTTTTCCCTTAACTCTCACCACT